TTCTTCTCTTAGCAGTTCCACATTAGTTAGATCTGTATTATTTTCCTCATTAGAATTTCTCAGTTTCCCTCATTTGGTCAAAATGTTTTTGACCATCGAAGCCTTTGGTCTATTCAGTGCAGAATCACCATTTATTGTTGGCTGACCGTACCAGTGGTATGGCAACAGTTAAGCATCTGGGGATCAGACATATATACAAATTCTTTCTGTGCAGTAGTCAGCATAAGTGTTATTTCTTTCTCCAATGAATGGATATATTTTAGCCTGTGGGCCTTTACGACTTAAGCTGTTTTGTCCATTTGTTCCAAAGGTAGAAATAAATAGATCAAATATTCTGGTATTTTTATCTGTGGTTTTATTCTTGTAGCATTTATTATCTAGCGTATAAATACAGGAGATGATCCTTTTCAATATGATTTTAAGACTGACGTTGATTGGTATCTCTTTTAACATACTTAATCTCATTTTAGAACATGTTGAGGTATTTCTGGTGACTTCACTTTTGGAAATGCAGTTCTTACCTTTCAGGCATACACTTTACATGACATTAGATATTTGATAATCCCAATTTATGAGAGGAAAATTCAAGCTGTTTCTCAGGTCATTTAGTAACAATTTCATGAGAGTTTATAAGGATTTTAGAAGTATAGATCACATTATCATTATGGGGAATAGTCTCTTACCTGAAAGCATCATGTATTGTCATGTTTTTTCTGTATTTTATGTTGGGCAATTTTAAAAAGCTTGCTGGCGAGGGAGAGTCTGCCTCTCTTAGAGATGGCCAAGGGCTGGTCCTGGAGTACATTTTCAAATGCAAACCAACTAGTCCAAGCCCCAACCTCCTCCTCTTAACTCTCTCAGGGCAGCCTAGTACTTGCTCTGACCTCTATCAACCAGACAATCCAAAATACCCCTTTGGCCCAGAGCTATAATGCTCCATGAGGGAGGGTCCCAAGCCATGTCTGAACTTCAAAGATAAAGCAAGATCTGGTAACCTGTTGAATCTCTTAAATAGAATCCTTATGGTAAAAAACTGTCTGGATAATTTCCCCATCATTGGAGTTTAGTCTTTCTAATTTCCAGCATACAGCTGTAGTTAAGCTGGGATTGCTTCTCTGTCATGGGGGTAGATTGTTGTATGTGGGTAAATCCTTTTTAGACATCAAACAGTGGTCACTGTAGTGTTATTAATGTGGCAAAACTTCTCAGGGCTTCATATGCTGCATAACTTTTTGAGATAGAAGAGATTAATCAGTATCTACAACAAGTAGATTTGATTTATGGCTCACTTTCTATTTTAGCTATCTATTACTGCGTAACAAAAACACCCAAAACTTCCTGGCTTAAAGTGATTGTTTCTTGTAGGCAGAGTAAGTGGTTTCTCTGCTTCCCCTGGCATTAGCTAAAGTCTTGTTTGGCCGGCTAAATTCAGCCAGTGATGGGCTAGGCCAGAAGGTCAAAGGAAACTTTGCTCCCATGTCTGGAATTATATGGGGCTTTCTCCTCGTGGCTTGAGTTTCCTTCCAGCTTTGTAATTTCAGACTAGTTGAACTTTCTGCCTGATGATTAGCTTCAAGAAGGAAAGTGGAAACCGCCACACTTCTGAAGGGTTGGTCTGGAACTTCTGCCATATTCTACTGAGTCAAAGCAAGTCATGAGGCTAGGGAAGATTGACGAGAATGAGGGGGAAAAAAATAGCTTTTTAGAATGGAATAGAGAAGGAATTGATATTGTCTGATATTGTCTTTCTTTGACCACCATACTAACCAAAGATGGACTATACTTATAAATCAGTACAAGGAACGTAAGAAGTGATAGAAGCCTAGGGAGATAGATTCAGGGATTGGTGGGCTTTCAAAAACAGGAATGTTGAAGGACTGACTGCCTGGCTTTCAGTTGTAAAAGTTTGGTCACTGGAGTGAGGTTGTAGCTGACTTTCTGACTTTACAGAACATAGTCATAGTGAATGCTATTGCTGATTGCCCTTCAGAATTGTGGAGCTCTTGGGTTGGCTGGCCCTCGTAATAAGCATGTGTGCTGATGAAAAACCCATCATTTGATCTGGTGATCAGTTGTCTTTGATCCATTGACTCTTGTGGTTACTAATATCATGGATTAAAACTGTGGCCAAGAGGCAGGCAGTCTCCCTCCACCCTTCTAGACTTTGAAGGCCAGGAATATTTTATTCTCATCAGAGTATCTTTAAAGTCTTTTGATTAGTACAGACTTTATTCTTTTTTTTAAAGTTATTTTTATTAACATAATGTATTATTTGCCCCAGGGGTAGAGGTCAGTACAGACTTTATTCTTAATGACAGGTTTGACAGAGTTACTGGATTTTCCTCAAAAAGCAGTAATTTTTTAATTAACATATAATGTATTATTTGTTTCAGGGCAAAAAGCAATACTTCTTAATTTTTGATTGAGAAGCCAGGGGAAATTAGGAAACATATTTGCTTTCACAGCAGGTTGAAATAAAGAACTTCTCCGAAGACGTAGCTATAATCAAGATGGCATGCTCCTGTCAGTATTGGGTAGAGTATTGGTAACAATCTTTATTGTATTTGAGTATTCAGAAGTTACATAGACGACAAAGCAATTACTGAGTATCACAAGTAGGTGTTCATTAGTGGTAAACAGCAGACAAATCAAGCCATGTTTATGAAGTTGAGCTTCAAGAAAGTCCTCATTTGGAAGGGGCAGAAAGGTGGCAGGATTCAGATCAGAGTGGCATTTAACAGTCATGAAGTTTAGGCAATAAAATAATTTTACTAGTACTCTACTAATACAATAATGGAGCTGGTGGAGTTTGGTATTGTAAGGTTTTTGTTACTAGATTATGCTAGTTAAGTATGACAAAGATGGTCATGGGATAGTGAGAAAATTATAAAATTATATAGGGAACACTGGCCATTAACTTTGAAGAAAATAAGGGAATATTTTTTAAGTAAGGACCAATTAACAATTTGATTTAATTTAGACCATGTTTATTTTATACATGTACTGCTACATTCCATCAGAAAATGTTTCGATTTTATAACAGTTCAACAAATAAAACACACTTATTTGAAAAAATTCAAATGCTTAGGCGTTTAACATATAAATACAAGGTACAAAATAAATACACTGCACAAAACCACCCATCCACAAATTGCTGTATGCATCATTTCTGAAACATAACATATAGAAAAGCACATCATATACATTGATTGTGGTGTTTTCAGCTCTAAGTAACAGAAAAACTTAATTTTGTAAAGTGCCAGATAGTAGCTGTGTAGGCTCTGTGAGCCATACGGTCTCTGTCAGAACTACTCAACTCTTCTCTTGTAGTGCTGAAGGCAGCCTCAGGCAAAAGAGACAAATGATATTTATTAGTGTTCTTGTAGTGTTCTAAACTTTATTTATGGACACTGAAATTTGAATATAATTTTCACATGTCACAAAATATTCTTTATTTTTTTTCCACCCACTTAGAAATGCAAAACCATTCTTGGCTTGTAGGCTATAGAAACGGGCTTTGGGACACATCTGAATATCTGAATCACTTGTGGGAAAATGCACAACCAAGCCAAACCAAGGCACTACAGCAATAAAGTGAGTGGTGAATGCTGGTAGCAAACTTTTTTTCCTCCAGCATAACTGAAGAAATACAAATTATAATGATAATAGTATCTAACATATGCTTTTCTTGTGTCTCAGACACTATTCTAAGTGCTCTAAAAATATTAACTCATTTATACCTCAAAGCAATCCTATCATTATCACTTCTCTTTTATAGAAAAGGAAACAGAGGCACAGAGAGGTTAAGTGGCATGCTCCATGCTGGAATTTGAGCTGTGGCCATAAAGAGTCCAGAGTTCCCACTCTTAACCACTACAATGTTGCTTCCACTGTGAAGAAAAAGGCAGTGAAGAACATTCTTAAAACATACAAAATTCTAATGCAGATAGCTCTGCACCCCACTAAAATATCAACAGTAAGATAGATACTACTTCTTTACATAGCATTGTTTTTAGCTGTTTTTAAAAATAATTTGTCTTTTCTTATGAATAAATGTGTCCCTAATGTAAAATTCACTGACCTTTCTTAAGAATTGGTTCAGTAACGTCTATATTCATTCAAAAATACAAAGAAATAGGAGAAAAAGAAGCATTACAATTTTAAAAGATTATTACATTTAAAATACACATTAGAGTAACAGCAGGAGTCGCTGCCCAGACGTAATGTGAAGTATGTTCACATTTGTGAAAACTACTGAACCAAAGCTACATATTTCCTTATGTACAAATACGGATGGATCCATGTGCACATAAACATCCACAGCCCGTCTTGCGGTGCGCTGACTCACATTGGTTCTACATACTAAAGGATTCTTCACATGTGTGCAAGGATGTCACCTGGTTTTTTCAATGTGTTTGTGCTTTTTAAAAAGCTTCAAATATCTAGACATTGGTAGGTTTCTTTTAAAAAAAAAAAAAAACTCAAAAAACAAAACCCCTCAGAATCCAATTGCTGCAACATGACTTCTGGCATATCTGTTAACCCCACTCAGTACAGATTCTCCTTGAATTTTTGTCAAGAAACTTACACATATTTGGAATGAAAGGTTCTAGCCCGGCGTCGTGGATCTGCAGTTCACGGAAGCAGCACTTCTCGATACAGGCTTCTGTATGTGTTGCAGTCTATGCGGTTACACCTCTGAGTGCTCCAAGTGCACCTGGTGTCAGAGGTTTCTGAATGCTCAGGAAGGGGACTGATAGGAGCTTCTCAGGTGAGCTTTGGCTATCTACTGATGGCTGCCCTGTCAGAAAATTTCCTGATACTCATTTGTTTTTATAGGATTTCTCTCATGTGATTTCTATGTTGTGCAATCTAGTATGACTTCTAAAAGAATGGTCTCCCTCATATTTTATAATTTGTCGGTTGTCTGGTACTTAGTTAAGTCTGCCATGCTGTCAAAATCTCTCCCTTACAGATTTAAAGAATTTCTGTATCTTTTGTTTTCTGTCAAGACAGACTGTGACCAAAATTTTCTGAGATAGATGATATTCCTAAGCTTTTTGTCTTGTGTGAATTATCCAATTATTCTAAAGGATGAATTCCAAAAGAAGTTCCCAATACATACTATTTTTCAGCTTTTTCCCTCTGTGTGTGTCTTCTGATGTGCAGTAAGTTTTGATTTCTGATTAAAAGTTTTCCTACACTCCTGACACTCATAGGGTTTCTCCCCTGTGTGTTTTCTCTCATGTATGATAAAATGTGACTTCTGAGAGAAGGATTTCCCACATTCCTTACATTCATAGGGTTTCTCTCCTGTGTGCGTCCTTTGATGTAATCTGAGGACTGAATTCACGGAGAAAGATTTACCACATTCATGACATTCGTAGGGCTTCTCCCCTGTGTGTTTTCTCTGATGTTTAGTGAGGTCTGATTTATAGTAGAAGTTTTTTCCACATTTATTACATTCAAAGGGTTTCTCCCCTGTGTGAGTTCGCTGATGTACTGTGAGGGCTGACTTCTGGTAGAAGCATTTCCCACATTCCTTACATCCATAGGGTTTCTCTCCTGTGTGAGTTCTCTGATGAGTTTTGAGGTGTGAATTTCTAGAAAAGAATTTCCCACACTCCTTACATTTGTAAGGCTTCTCCCCGGTATGTGTTCTCTGATGTACTGTGAGGTGTGATTTCTGGGAAAAGGATTTCCTACACTCCTTACATTCATACGGTTTCTCCCCTGTGTGTGTTTTCTGATGTACCATGAGGTATGCCTTAACATAGAAGAACTTCCCACATTCATTACACTCAAAGGGTTTCTCTCCTGTGTGTGTTTTCTGATGTTCTACAAGGTGTGGCTTCTGGTAGAAGGATTTCTCACACTGATTACATTCGTAGGGTTTCTCCCCTGCATGAGTCCTCAAATGTCTACTAAGAGATGACAGGTGATAGAAAGTTTTTTTACACTCTTTACATTCATAGGTTTTCTCTCTGGTGGGAGTTTTCTGTTCTACTGTGTGGTCTCCATTTCTAGAGCCAGATTCCCCGCATTCCCTGGGTTTGTCCTTTGAATGAATATGCTGATGTATTACAAGGATAGACTTCTGGCAGAAGGACTTTCCACATTCATTGCATTTATGGATTTTCTCTCTGGCTTGAGTTTGCTGGTGTTTTGTGAGTTCTCCGTTCCTGGAGAGAAATTTCCAAATTCAGTAATGTCTAAGGCACACTCGCTGAGAACCAATTTCTAGAGATTTTTCCTGTCTATAGATACAGAATCTATAGGGTAGATTCACAGTTTCTCCACTATGAATGTTCTCTGACACCCACTGTGGTTTACCATTTGGTAGAAGGAACCTTCCCTTGCATTGTATGCACAGAGTCTCTCAAATCCCTGAGCTCTATCTACAGTGTCTCCCTTACTGTGTACCTCAGAAGAATTAAAAGGCAACTTCAAAGTTTGAATCTCTTGGTCCTAAATAAGATCTCCATTATGGAAGAGAACTTGACCATTTGGGTTATATGCTTCGGAATGCACTCCAGTGTTAGTTTTCTCACATTTAGTGTGAACTAGTGTTGTCCCACTTCCAGTACTCCCATTCTTATTACAAGGCTTCTAATCTTAAAATCAAAATCTTGGACTTGCCTTGAATTTTCAGCTCGGCTTTCCTGGCATTTTGCTCCTCTGTCATGAATTTTCCAGAGATCTTCTATAAAGAAATCCAAAATTTAATACTATATAAATCTCAATGTTATTACTATGGTTATAGGGTTATTTCTTAGGCTTCAGGCCAATCTCCCCAAATAAAGGAACTCTTTTATTCGTCTAACAAATTTCGTCTAACCCACTGGTTTAGAAAAAAACATAAACATTAAAAACTGTGGTACCAGACCCAGGAAGAAACGTAGTTATAAACCTAAGTACTTCTAGCACTTTACAAAAAACATGGCCTTAAAAACTTCGGAGAAAAAGTTAAAGGGGGTGGGGAGAATAGGGAGCAGAGAAGAAAAGATTTTTAGAGTGCTGCTGAAGACTTTGGAACTCAGAATGCTGTAAGCCCGTGACAGACAAGAAAGAGTAAGTTGGGTGAAAAGAAAAATTAGTAGACAGCTGTGTTTCCTGGAAACATCAGGGGAAAGGTGAAACGGGACGAAAGGCTAACAGGTCTCTGTCAGCCCAAAATTAATTTGCTGTGTTATTTTAGCAGACTGTAAACCTCTGCTTGCTTTCCTCTGTACCCGCACGCAACAATTTGCATGCCAACGCTAACGTGATTTTCTGGGCACACCGGTTTCCCCGTGTGTGGAGGAATAGTTTCACACTCTGGGCTCTCACTCGCCATCTAGCAGTCTTAATTTTCACGGGGACAGAAGACCTAAGAACACATATATCCAAAAGGAAAGATGATTAAAAAGAGGATGCAAGCCATCATAAAACACGATGCACTCCCATTTGCAGCAGCAACGATTTTCAAGCCTGATTGCCAAATACTGCATCTCCAGAGTGGTGTTAGCCATGCCTCAGCTCCAGGCTTAGTCTTCTGTTTTCCTAGTTTAGTTCCCACCTCTCTACTTCAATTTACTACATGATCTCTAAAGAATTACTCAACATCATTCTGGAACCCTTACTGACCTTCATATTTATGCATCTTTAAATGCTTGACAGAACGTGAAAGATTACGAGCAGAGGCTTGGGGTTGGAATTTCGTAGTATTTGTGGGGAAGACAGAAGATGCTATTTGATGAGGACCTGGACAAGGCTAACTGGGACACTCAGGAAACAAGATCCTGTGTGTCTCTGGTCTTAGGAAAGGGGGAACCCTTGCAGGAGTTACTGTGAAGGGCACAGAGAAGACAGTGCCTGCCTCTTACTAAAATTCACATTCAGTCTTTCAACAGATACCTAGTGAACAACTACTAAATACCAAGACATTGTTCCTGGTCCCGGCAACACATAAGTACACAAGTCAGGAGTATAAGAAAAGCATTTACAGAAGCAGAATGAGATCATCTTAGTAGTTTTTTGGCTTGTTTTTAGTTTTTTTAAATCTTCATGTTACAGTACTCCCAAGTAAGATGTGGTAGATTTTAGAAGTGATAATAATTAATACTTTGTGTGAAAGACAAACCACATGTAAAAGGAGGCATCAGCTCTGAAATAATGTAGTTGATAAAAGGCATAAAGGTTTATAATCTGATATTTCAGAGTTTAAAGAGAGAAAAGGAAGTTAATAAAACTGGTGTTGAAAATAACTGAGGCATCTCATTGTTAGTAAAAGGAGGGAATGACATTTGGAGAAAAATTTATCATCAGATTTGAAATCACAGTGTTCTAGAATTCTAGTAACTGGGGATTCTAGAAAAAAGATAAAAATCTAAGACAGGGTTAGGCAGTGATTAGATTTTGTATATAGGAAAGAGAAGTTTATTTTAAAAAGTCTGGCAAAGGAGGAATTTATGTGGAAAAACGAAAACTGGAGGTGTGATTTATGGTGCTTGCATATGCAGATCCAAGAATCCTTGGCTTTTTCCAAAGTATAGGGCATTTTATTTTTTTATTATTTTTTTTTTCAAAGATTTTATTTATTTATTTGACAGAGATCACAAGTAGGCAGAGAGGCAGGGAGAGAGGAGGAAGCAGGCTCGCTTCTGAGCAGAGAGCCCGATGCGGGGCTCGATCCCAGGACCCTGGGATCATGACCTGAGCTGAAGGCAGAGGCTTTAACCCACTTAGCCACCCAGGCACCCCACTATAGGGCATTTTAAAAGATGCCTAAAAATATTTCATAATGCAAAAGGCACCATAAGTCCTCACTCACCCGGGTAATTCCGATGTGGAAATTCCACTTCCAATATCCATGGTTCTTTTCCTTGTTTCAGCTTGAAGACTGCATTCGACTTATTCACACGGTAACCTATTAATGGAAAAGTATGTAATATAGATTACTTGGAATTTAGGGATTCTGAAGGATGAGGAAATGCAGCTTTAGCGGAACTATGGAAGGTCCCACTTGGGCTTGGCAGATGTAGATTCTTTCAGTGGGAGGGTGGGGACACATATTTTTCCTGGCACCCAAAATCGATTTGTCAGCTTTGACCCCTGAAACAAAGCTAATATTATGCAGTCCAGCACCTGGGAAAGGAAATGCAAACTACTGGTAGTTACATATGTGGAAGTTTTTCTCACCCACTGAGACTAGGAGACCATAGTTCTCTTGCATCACTTCTCTGTATAGGGTCCTCTGAGCATCGTTCATTAACTGCCACTCTTCCCGGCTGAATTCCACAGTAACATCCTTGAATGTGACTGGTCCCTGTAACAACATATTTCAGTTCAAATTGAAGTCATCAGAGTAGAGTATCAAAAAAGACACTGTAAAGTAGCTGTTAACCTGCCAGCCACATAGTGTACTCTAGAAAGTTAAGATACTTTGCTGCTCTGTACATAGGTGAAGTGTTCAATATGTATTTACTGAGATACCACCCATGCCTGGAACTCTGCTGGAGATACAGCAATGAATTGAAAGCAACCATGCCTGTTGTCATGGAGCTTACACTGTGACGAGGAGGCAAAGACGTAAATACTTGCATGTAATATGCATAACAGGGGCTCTGACAGAAAATGGGGATAGATATTTGCATTATGTATTATCAAATCAGATTTTACTAGGTAGTCAAGCTAACAAACTTTGGGAATAAAAAAAAACAGTTGGCAAAGGCCTTGATGTATGAAAAATGGCAAGTTTAGAAAAGTTACAAATAAGACAGCATGGTATGAGAATAGGAAAGATTACTTAGAAGGTGATACAGTCCAGTCAGGTGACAGAACATGGAATAATTCAGAGTGTGTCTCTGGGCCATTAAGATATATTTTGTATACCCACTTAATGGGTGTCTGCTTATAAACATAAGTTTACAATAATCTTTATTAAAAATTGACAAGTTGTTTTTCTATTTATAAGGAACAAAAATATGAATAGATGTTCTGTTTCACACCATTTTTATACTTTGTGGGGTGTCCTACCACATCTTAGGGATGGTCACCCACTCACAGATAACAGGGAGCCACTGAAGAGACAGATGTGAAGTGCTAGAGTTCCAGGGGGTCGCCTGGTAGTTGAGAAGAAAACACTGAAGTAGAAGAGGCAAAGACCACACCAGAAATATGGAGTGTTAGAAAATTAGAGGCATATGTGAACGGAATGATAAACATTTAAAATAGCCGCAATGAGGGGGAAGAAACATACCTTCATTGGAAATGAATAATCATTGAGAGAAGGGAAGGATAACTCCCACAGTATCTATAGAGTTTGAAAATAGCTAGAACCACAAGGCTAATTATTTTCATTCTCCCATTTTTATTGGTAGGACTGTTTAAGGCTATGAAATTTCCTCCAATCATTGCTCTGCTTATATTCCACAGAACCTGACATGTGAAAACGTGAAGAACTTCTTTGCTGAATATAAGTTCTTGCTTCTTGTTTTATATATATGTTGGCAATAAGAATTATGTCAATATTATTCTCTTTCCTGGGCAAGTGATGTAGACTTTTTTCCCCTTGTGATTTAGAAGACTTTTTCTCTACTTTTAAGTCTAGTAGTTTTAGTAGACTCTCTCTTGGGGTTAACTACCCTGGGTCAGTTCTCTCTGGCACACAGAGCCTTTCAATAATGTAATTCAGTTTCTTTTTTTTTTTTTCATGGAAAGTTTCCTTGGATTAAATATTAGCTCTCTTCCAGTATTTAGGTTTTGTTATTCAGGGATTCTACTTTATTTCCTGTTACTCTCTCTTCCTCTTTCTGGTTGATTCTTACCAGCACTCCCACCCGCTCCCCAACTCCATGGTCTCTTCTAGTTCCTCTGCCACATGCCAGTTACTGGACTTTGGATTTCTCTTCTCCTGAGGTACACTGTCCTTTAATCTTCTAACCTGACAGGATTTTCTATTCTACTATTTCTTTCCTAAATTAATTTACTTATATTTTATATCTACTTATTTTTCAGTTTCTGAGTCTTTAATCTCTGGGTTTTAAATTGATATCCTATCTGAAACTCCCTAATATCAGAAAGGTATACTCTCCTGTACTGTGCGTTTGTTTGGGGAGGAATACTGACATCAGTGGACAAAGTGTTAGTTTACACTTTCTACTTTTTTCTCTTAGTATTGTCTGCATGTTGAGTAACATTTTTTATTCATGATCAAATGAAGATAAAACCTCATTTTATTAAAAAAAAAAACAAAAAACAAAAAACCTCATTTTATGGTGGGAAGGGATGGAAGTGTTACCCTAGTCCTTAGTTCAAAAACCTCTCTCTGTTGCCAGAGTATATTCACATTCTTAAAGGAAACAGCAGTACTGTGGGTGGTATCTTCAGAGTCTGTGATAATATACTCTTTTCTTTAGGACACCTGGTTTCAGCTGCATGTTTTCTGATTTGCCTTCACTTCCAAGCACACGAGGAATTTTACTTCTTTTCCTCTGTATTGCTGACTGCTTGAAGTTGCCGTCTGTTCCTGCACACAGTCTTAAGTCCCTTCCTTTTTTACTCCCAGTGCCAGTCCTTGGATTCCCCAGTCTCAGACCTCTCCTGCATCTCCCCAGTCAGGGTGAGCGCCTCTGCCTGTGGCTGTGCCCACTTGATCTTATGTTGCTCTACAACTGTGACCTCACCGTCTTTCCTCTTCCATCAGTGCCGTTTTGACTTCCTGCTCTGGAGTGAGCTCCAAGCTGTTTTTGTTCATGACAGTGATCTCCCTAACTTATACAGAAACAGAAGTTTCCTCTCTCCTAGCTATACAGCAGGAGTGGGTTGTGGCATGTTGGAACATTTATACCTTGCCAACTAACATTATTCTGTGGCAACTAGGAAATCCATAAAAGAAAACTAGAAGGGGCGCCTGGGTGGCTTAGTGGGTTAAGCTGCTGCCTTCGGCTCAGGTCATGATCTCAGGGTCCTGGGATTGAGTCCCGCATCGGGCTCTCTGCTCGGTGGGGAGCCTGCTTCCCTCTCTCTCTCTCTCTGCCTGCCTCTCTGTCTACTTGTGACCTCTCTCTGTCAAATCAGTAAATTAGAAAAAAAAAAACTGGAAAACAAAAGAATCCATTTGGCAGGAGACAGAGTTGAATTTTGTTCACGCTGTGAAGTGACTGAGGAACAGAGAGCTGGAACTATCCCATTTGGGCAGATATACATGTAAGTAAATTTCAATAAATAATATTGTCATACATTTTAAAAACAGTTCCAGAAGAGTTAGAAAAGAAATCTGAAAGCAGCAACATTCAAGATAATGGTAGCAGAAACTAGGACAAGACTGAAGCCTGGCAGAACTCTAAATAAATGGGCACGTCAGGAGGAGAGTGCTTAGAAGCCAAAGAAAGAGAGACTCACAACTAATGGGCAGTTCTAGTTTAAAACCGAAATGTAAAAGTCCAAGGTAGAGAAACTTTGTAAGTGCACTCCAAAAGAAGATATATGGGTAGGAAATAAGCACATTAAAACATTTTCAATATATTAGTCATTAGGATAAATGCAAATTAAAGCCATAATGAGATACCACTACACAGCTATCAGCACGATTTGAAAAAAACTACTGACAATACCAAATGCTGACAAGAATGCGAAACAGGTAGAACTCTGTACATTGTGGTAGGAACACAAAATCTTACAACTACTCTGGTAAACAGTTTGGTAGTTTCTTATAATCACAATACTGAGTATGAGCTAGGTAAGCACATTCCTAGGTACTTACCCCAAGACAAATGAAAATCTGTGAACACAAAGAAATCTAAATGCAGTTGTTTGTAACAGCTCCTTTTATAATTGCCACAAAGCAGAAAACCCAATGCTTTTCCGCTGGTGAGTGAGTTAATAAATTGGATACATACATATAGCTCAGTACTATTCAGCAATAAAAAAGAATGAACTGTGCATAAAATCAGTATGATTAAATCTCAAATGTATTATGCTAAATGAAAATTGGTAGTCTCAGAAAACTACATACTATTTGATTTCATTTATATGATATTCAGAAAAAGGCAAAATTCTAGGGATAAAGAATAAATTGGTGATTGCCAGGAATAGTGGTGGAGGGAACCAAAATAGTTTTGAGGCAGTGAAACTGTTCTGTATTCACTGTGGTGATGATTGTATGCCTTTATGCATATGTCAAAACTCACTGAACGGGGGGCGCCTGGGTGGCTCAGTGGGTTAAGCCTCTGCCTTTGGCTCAGGTCATGATCTCAGGGTCCTGGGATCGAGCCCCACATCAGGCTCTCTGCTCAGCAGGGAGCCTGCTTTCCCCCTCTCTTTCTCTGCCTTTCTGCCTACTTGTGATCTCTCTCTGTCAAATAAAAGTTTTTTTAAAATCTTAAAAAAAACCCTCACTGAACTGTATACCCACAAAGAGTGAATTTTGCTGTAAGTTAAAGAGTCAAGAATAAATAAGTTAAAGAATAAAGAAGATAAAAGACAGCACAAAACAAAAATGACTTCACACGCATCAGGATGACTACTTTCAACATAGCAATGACAACATAAAAACCTAGGAAAACATCAAGTACTGGCAAGGATATAGAGAAACTGGAACCCTTGTGCATTGCTGATGGGAATGTAAAATGATGCAACTCCTACAGAGAATATAGGACTTGTTCCTCAAAAAGTTAAAGAATTACCGTATGATTCAGCAACTTCACTCCTATATATCCAAAACACTCAAAGCAGGGACTCAGACAGGAATTCGTACGCCAGTGTTCATAGCAGCACTATTCACAATAGGTACAAGGTGCAAAAAAGCCAAGTGTCCATCAAGAGATGACTGCATAAAGGAGAAGTTAGGAAGATGATGGAGCAGGAAGACCCTCAGCTCGCAACCACCCATGGATACAACTAGATAACACCTCAGCGTAAATAACCCAAGAAAACAACCCCAAGACTGGCCAAATTCCACAACTAAAAGTAGAAAAGAGGCTGCATCAAAGGAGGGAAGTGTGAATATTAAGAGAAGTTAACTGGGTGCAAAAGGAAACATGGACCTCATTAAAAAGTATAGAATCATGATTTTTAATAAAACATGTCAAATAGCAGGGGAAGAAAAGGAATGCATAAATAAAATATGGTATATAGAAACAATGGAGTATCATTTAGCTATTAATGGGAAGGAAATCCGGTCACATGCTATACTGATGAACCTTAAGGACATTATACTGAGTGAAATATGCCAATTAAAAGCAGCAAATACTGTGTGATTCTACTTATATGAGGGACCTAGAATAGTCAGGTTTATAGATAGAAAGTAGATTGGTGGTTCCTAAGGGAAGGCAGAATAGGGAGTTATTGTTTAATGGTTAGAATTTTAGCTGTGGGACGCCTGGGTGGCTCAGTCGGTTAAGTGGCTGCCTTCGGCTCAGGTCATGATTCCAGGACATCACGCTCCCTATGTAGTGGAGAGCCTGCTTCTCCCGCTCCCTCTGCCTGCTCCTCTGCCAACTTGAGCTCTCTATCTCTGTCTCTCTGTCAAATAAATAAATAAATCTATCTTTTTTTTTTTAAGGAATTTTAGTTGTGCAAGATGAAAAAAGTTCTGCAGATGGATGGTCATGATGATGGTACCATGATGTGAATGTACTTAAATGCCACTGAATGGATACAGTTAAAAATGGTTAAAATGGTAAGTTTGACCAAAAAAAGTTTTATGTATATTTTGCCATAATTATAAAATAAGTAAGAATAAAAACCAAACCCCGGGAAAATACACTAAGAATGGCTGTGGGAAAGCATCAGATATTACCATCACACCAAAACTGAAGGGACCAAAATCCTAGGAAAAAATAAATTGATTGGGATGAGTCCCATACCTTGAATTTGAATTTTGGGGGCATTTTCAAATTTCATAGGCTGAGCAGAAAGTAGCTTAGAGCTAGCATCTTGACCATAAGGATAAAAAGCTAGTTCTGAATAGAATGTAGAGAGAGAAAAGAGAAATGGATCTCACTCTAACAATAACAACAGGCCCCTAACCTAGTTTTCCAGAACCTATCAGAGAACTGAGAATCCAAAGATGAACAAAGGAAAAAATTCACAAGAGATGAATACTGCAGAAGAGAAAAGAAAACCACAATGACTTTCTCTTTCAGGGGCAAGTAGGGGAGAGAGGGAACCAGCCCCGCTCAACAAAATTTTAATGTTTGCTTATGGATTTCTGTAATATATTAGAATCCCTAAGAACTCCAGTCACAGAACAAGTGAACACCAATATGCCCTGTGGCGTTTTCACATGCAAACGGTCACTAAATGGAAGCTTAGTATCTACAGGACTTTTTTTTACTTCCCATCAAATGTCTCAAAGTGATCATTTTATTATAAGTTGGGGAAGCAGTTTCTGGAACCAGATAGAAAGCTCCATAACCAATACGAATGGTCTGAAATACAAAGAGCCACTAGTTTTCTCCATAAGCCTCTACTGAGTACATGGCAACAACCCTCCACAGGCAGCAGAGCACCAGGGTGGGATGTCTCCCAAAGGAAGTACGATAAATCTCATTAGGATAAAGAAAAATCCATACATACACATCAGAGTTAAAGATATCTTAAAAGTAGCTAGCCCAGAATGCAAATTTACTTTAGAGGTCTGACAAATTAAAAGGTGAATTTTCAGTAGTATCAGTAGGAGACAGTGAATGGTTTTCAAGTTTTAAAATATAAGACTTGTCAACCAAGAGTGCTCTACACAGTGAAAAAGTTGTATTTCAGATAAACCAAACTCAGAATTTTCCACCAGCAGACCTGCATTAAAGCAAGCAAGTGAGAATAAAAACAACATAAAGGATGTTTTCAAACAGAAGAAATGTATGGCAATACAACCTGAAAGATACAAGAAGAAATAAAAAAGGTCATCTCATTTGGCCAAAATGGCAACAAGCAAACAAAAAAATTACAGTATCTGCATAAAATAAACCTTTCCAAGAGTCAGTAGTGAGACTACACTCAAAATTACTTCAAAAAACAAAAAGGCTGACTAGTCATTTGTGCTGTCCAAACTCAAATCTCAGTCAGAGATTTACAGAGCATAACGTGGGGAAAATATTGTGGAACCCCTGAATGAATTTTGGATATGGAGAATGTCATGTAAAAGATGTACAAGACTAAACCACAACTGTTGAACAGACTGGTTTTTTTAGCTTCCTCTTCCATTATTTCTCCCTCTTTCCAGAGCCTCTTTCTCCCCATAATCATGCCCAAAGACTAGGATTTTTAGTTAATAACATAATTACTACCATAAACCACTTCAAAAGCTGCGCTGTAAGAATTACGTAAGACTGACTATATCAAGTGCTTATCAAAGGACTGGGAAATTAATTGGCAAATACAGTTTTTTTTTTTTTAAACATTAAATGATAAAAGCAAAGAAATGGTTACCACAGAAGTCAGGCTTCATGTTTCTCTGGGTAATGAATGGTGAGATGAGAATAAGAAGAGGCACACAGGGGCTTCAAAGATAGTAGTAATTTTCATTTCTTAAGCCAGATAAGGGATACACCTGTGTTTCATCAGTATTCCCTAAATTTTACATATACATTATGTACATTCCTTTGATTGCATAAGTATGATTTTTAAATAAATTGAAATTCAGTGTTTTCTTCAGCCTACAAGGCCCTACATATTCCAGCCCTTTCTCCCTCTTTGATTTTCCCTTTTAGCTCAATCTCCCCTAGATCCGACACTCTGTAGCTTCAGTATTTTGAACCATTTCTGGAACATTTTGAACATTTCTTAGGGTGTTTGTATTTGCTGTTCTTCCTATCTAGAATGCTCTTCCCCCAGAATTCTGCTTGGCTCAGTTTCTCTTTTAACCAGGACTTTCCTCAAATACTACCTTTTAGAGTGGCATTCCCTAGCCAACTTATTTTTTCCTCACTTCTCTATGTCATGCTGTCCTAAACTGCTTCTGAGCACATACTCAAGGGGCGCCTGGGTGGCTCAGTCGGTTAAGTGTCTGCCTTCAGCTCAAGCCATGATCTTCAGGGTCCTGGGATCAAGCCCCATATGGGCCTCCATACTCAGCAAAGAGTTGGCTTCTCCCTCTGCTACTCCCTCTGCTTGTGCACACATGCTCACTCATTCTCAAATAATTTTTAAGAAAATATTACTCAAAATGCAGACACATATAAAAAATATATCACATTTGTTAGTATCCTCACCATTTCTCCTCAGAAAAGTCTTTAAGTATTAGAGGGTGTCAGTTTCACAGTGGAGGATACAAGTTTTCCAAAATTCTATTTCTCTTGAAAGCTCAACTTTTTAACATTGGCAAGAAACACTGAGAATTATTTCCCTTAAAGTGACAGGCTCAGTTTTGCCATTTTTGAGAAAAGGTTTGGTAAATACCCATCCGAATAACAAGTTTGTCTGCCAGTTGCTCTTTCAAGTAAAAATAGTATTCCATGAAAAAGGTCGCTAGGTGAGCTCACGAATCAATCACACAAGTGTTTTTCCTCTAAACAACCGTCATTCCTCAGTATGTAGCAAAGGTACTGTATGTTAACTTCCCATTTCGTCAGACTGAATATTAAAGAGATGTGTATTGGGCGCCTGGGTGGCTCAGTGGGTTAAGCCTCTGCCTTCGGCTCAGGTCATGATCTCAGGGTCCTGGGATCGAGTCCCGCATCGGGCTCTCTGCTCAGCAGGGAGCCTGCTTCCCTCTCTCTCTCTGCCTGCCTCTCTGTCTACTTGTGATCTTTCTCTGTCAAATAAATAAATAAAATCTTTAAAAAAAAAAAAAAAAGAGATGTGTATTCAAGGGTCAAGATTTAATAAAAATCAGTTTCTACTGTTTCACCAAAGATACACCCTTAAGTAAAGGTAGCAGTTTTTTATTGTAAGTACACTGCAGAGAAATACTGCCATTGGTATCATTGTCTTGATTCATGCCAAACAGGCAGCAACCTGGTCTCCACACTCTCACACCATCAGTGTGCAAGGCAGTTTGCATCCTAGTATTATGTTCTGACCTCACAGGCGTCTTGTAAAGGCCCAGGGGTCTGCAGACTACACTTTGGAACTGCTGTGCTATTCAAACAGCATTTTCCCTTAACATGATTTTTAAGTATTTCCATTTTTCGAGTTTACAGTTTGGGCTTTTATAAAACTCACTGAAAATACACACACAAACACACACACACAAAGGGCTAAAGAAATGACTCACCTGATACTTGTTCATTTTCTGCTTCTCTTGGGAAAGGACAGAAACTATGAAGCCAGAACACAGAAAGTTGGAAGACAGGAGTCTTAAAAGACCTTATCTTGCAGCTCAGGAATCACCTGTGACAAATTTCCATACAATTTAGTAAAACAAACTCCTGGGAAAATAGCCCTTTGAGTCATAAAGAGAAATAGAAGGACTGTGATAAAGGAGTACCCACCTGTCCACTGGTGACTCTGATATAATCATGATGAATCTGGGAAAATTTCTGAATCTGAATATTTCTTTCCTACTGACTGTTTTGAAAATTATGTGTCCATTTACTAAATGGACCAAATGTCCATTACTAAAAACACAAAAGAACTGAAAACTTCAACATCCAAAAAACAGTAGGTTAGGCAATGTGTATAATAAATATCTAAGGTGTATGATATATTACCAAAGTATGGACTCTGATGCTGGCATTACAAATAATGTTGAAAAGAAATACTGATATGGAAGTGTTACATAACCATTTTTCCTATTGATATTATAAACTCAGGGCGCCTGGGTGGCTCAGTGGGTTAAAGCCTCTGCCTTCGGCTCAGGTCATGATCCCAGGGTTCTGGGATTGAGCCCCGTATTGGGCTCTCTGCTCAGCAGGGAGTCTGCTTCTCCCTCTCTCTGCCTGCCTCTCTGCCTACTTGTGATCTCTGTCAAATAAATAAAATCTTTAAAAAATAATAATATAAACTCTACAAAGTTAGAAAGTCTTCAGAGCCCTCAAAAATTAACATGTTCTTCTCCCTAAACTGCAGTTTCTCCAAAATCAGTTCTCCACGAAACTTGTTTTGACTTAAACATGGTATACTGGACGACCTGGAGACTTATTCTGGACGACCTGGAGACTTATTCTGTGTTAGTCTCTGCTATTAACACACTTAGTGACTTTGTTTCAATGCTATTATTTAACAGGAGGAATTAGATAATTTTGAACCACCTTTCCTGTACCATTTTGATTCTGTATGTCTTCACTCAATGCTACAAATCCAGACAATACCCTGGAATTCATTGTCCCCTCCAACCTGGTGTGGGCCTTAGGGTAAAAGTTAATTAGGCCTTGTAGAATTTTGACATGATCATCTGCTGATCGTCTGACAGCCACACAAATCTAAACCTTAAAATAATGTGACACCATAAATCCCAGGACACTTTATGTAGGTAGCAAAAAGTAACTAGATGTCATAATGCTGGGACAGCGGAAACCTCTTCCGGCTGGCGTGATGCTTACAAAACGCCTTAAATCCAGACACAAATGGACACCCCGAATAGAGACATTTTATCACTTTTAACATGGAGCCCGGAAGAAATTCCAGTTTCCGTCTTTTAACAAAGTCTGTCCCATTTCCCCTCTCTAGAAACCAGCTTCTTGCCTGGAGAGGATTCCCAGCTTCTCCAATAAAACTTAAAATTCAGGGCTCATCTTACAGTTTCAGTTTACATATTTACAGCCCTCTGAGAATAGAAACAGGTTGGAGAATGCAAGAAGGGCCTTAATTAACCTTTCGACAAAAGAGTTCTGAGGAAGCCTCAAGAATATTTTGCAAATAGAACTCTACGCGGCCAGGTTAGGTCTACTGCACTCCGCAGTTTTGCTCACAGACAATTACTGTACTAAATACAACCGAAGACTGGATTTTTACCTTGGGAAGCAGCATGAACCAGGGTAAAATATGAGAATTTACCCACCCTCCTCCGTTAGTGCTGAGTATACCAATTTATCTCTCAACCTTTAGTACTCGTATTTATTAGAATGGAGCTGATTAATACCGATTCAAAGGATGGTTATGATGATGATTAAATGAGCCAATAATGAAAAGAACAGCATACCTTGTAATCATAAATGCAGCTCACCTTTATTGAGTCCTTATACTTTATATAGACAGCCCTATTTAATACAGCAAACAGCCCCAGTGGTTACTGGAATTATTTTACAGATGAGTGTCCTGGTCGTAACCGAGGTTATCCTGCTCGCTTAGTGGCGGGGGCCGGACGCGCACAGGTCCCCCGGGCTTGACAGCGCCGCGGCGCCAGCAGCCACGCCAGCGCGGACGTGGCTGGCCCAGGGTCCACGTCACAAAAGCCATCCCCCCGCGTCCTCCCCTGCTCCTCCCGCGCCCCGGGCCAACTCGGGCCGCCCGGCTCCGTAGGTCGTGAGCCAAGAAGGAGGACGGCGGGCAGTCCCCCGCAAAGCCCCCTGCCTGACCCCCCTCCCCAGTCCTTCTCGCCGGCCAGTCGGGCGCTCAGAAGGGGGCGGCAGCGGCTTTCAGGTTCTCCGATTCGGGGCAGCCGCGGAAACCTCACTTTCCCCCGCCCCCCACCCCGGCCTCGCACCCGCAGAGAGGCCTACGACACACCTGCAGGGGCTCGGCCACCGCTCCCGGCCAGCGCAGCTTCCAGGCCCCGCCCTCTGTCAGTCCGCGGAGACCTGGAGGCTCCAGAGTCCTCTCCCGCCCTGGGGCGTGAAAAGAGATGGCGACTATCAAAAGAAGGTGGAATAGCGCTTGCGCAAAAGGCCCCCACGCCTCACTCTGGAACTACGCTTCCCAGGAGCCTCCGCAACATCTCCATTTTGGACGACGTATGATATTTGGCCTCTTCGAGCCGCCAGAGTAGTGCTGGGATTTTCTGGCTTCCCCCGTGATCACTCACAGTGATCGGTACTTTGACCTGGCACCCCGCAATCTGGGGGCTTGAAAACAAAATTACCACTTGATAAAGAAAGTACTTGTGAGTACAATAGTACATTCAAAGAACAGTATCCTGTAACATCTGAATTAAAACTTTCAGAATTATGCAAATGATACATGAAACTTGTAATAAAGAGAAAATATGTGTAAGCTAAAACGGAAGACTAGTGCCGTAATACTACTCCCCAAAAGAAAGAAAAAAAAAGTTTAATGTGAGTGCACAGTCAGATTTTTACTCATTTTGTGCTAATGGTATAAAATATATATGAACTCCGTTCACTAGGGAATATATACTGAATATGTAGTGATTTCCTGGTCAGTAACGTCATGACATCTTTCCTGTGCCAACAACAGAAATGAGTTTCCATTCCAAGTAATGACAAAAAACTTTTGGGGGTAAGATTAATTTTAAAACAAAATCCATTATTATATATATATATATAAATACATTATATATATTTATATTTACATTCATATTTGAGTATGTTTATATCGTGTATACATACACAGGTAGCTGGCATTCAGGGATGCAGGACCACCTGGCTGTGGGAGTCCCAAACAGAGCAAGTCCACCACTCACCCCTGACAAAATCCAAAGGCAGAGAGAGGCACCATGGTGTAACAAGAAAGGAATTTATTTCAGTGACGCTAACACAAGGAAGACAGTGGACCAAGCATCTCAAAGACTGATTCCAAAGCTCTGAAAAATATTTCCAAGTTTATATATAAAGTTTATATAAGAAAGTTTATATATAAAATTTATATATAGTTTATATATATTTATAGTTATATTTTTATATATAGTTTATATATATTTATATAGTTTATATATATTTATAGTTATATGTAAAGTTTATATAAAGATATATAAAGTATATATAAGGTTTATATAAAGTTATATATATATAGTTTATATATAGTTTATATATATAGTTTATGTAGGAAAAATGTGGGGCAAAAGACAGTGGTTACTATAGATGGGCAGTGAAAGTCCAATGGATCATTGTCTTGGAGTCAAACATGGGTGGGGTCCTCAGGGCCCCGGGTAGTTCTTATTCTTTAAGGGGGTAATATCTGTTAGGGGTGGGATTTCTTTGCTCTCTTGGTCTTCCACCTGAGTCAAGAGACAAGCTGGAAAGAAGAAACCAACCAGAAAGTTTGAGGTCAAAATGGATGCAGCTGAAGTCCTCTTTCATATACACATAACGTTTTTCTGGATGGGTGGTGTTGGAGAAATAATTAAAAATAAAGGGTCATCTCAGAATTCTGCCCAAAGAAATGATTTCAGATTTTGGCCTGGGGAACCATGGATGTAGTTACTATTTACTGCTGAAGAATAATTCACACATAGATATACAAGTATTTTCACACAGTATCATTTTTATCTACTGTTGTATTTGTTTAGTATTTGCCTTATTCTCAAGACAAATCTGTGGTGGTTATTCCCACAGTTGATGGACACACACAAATATACAAGTCACACAGAAATAACCTCTTTCATAAAAATGCATAGAGACTGACAATAAATACATTTACGTACCCTAACTGGAAATAATGTCAATTTGAGCGCTTATCTTGTGACAGACACTGTCATATCTCCATGAAGACATACATTTTATAGATAGCTCTGCTTTGTTACTGACATATTTTTAGTTCAATATATTTTGAATATCCCTTGTATAATTTAATCTATTTCTATCATATTTAGAGGCTGCTGCTTGTTATTGTACTTTGTGGATGAGCATATTTTACCCATAAATTCTTGAATATTTGTACTGACTCAACTAAAACTGTGAAGAGCATTATTTATATAAATCTTTGAAGTATAGTAGTATATAACCCAAGAAGTGGAATTACTTGAGTGAACTACTTATTTAAAATCTTTTAAGTATGCATATATTTTCTGGCTTAGTTAAAAAAAAATCATTGTTTCCTTAATTTTGAAAAATTCCTTTTCTTCAATTTCGAGACAAACTCTGCTTGGTAGAGATGTTATTTTCTTATTGTATTACTGGATTCTATTTTGTTAACATTTTAATTAAATTCCCTATTCACAAGAACTGATAACTGACAAATATCTTCCTTTTTATTAGTTTCATGTCTAAAAGATACATCCAGTTCTTTTTTCTTTTTTAAAAGATCTTATTTATTTTACAGAGAGAGATTGAGATCACAACTAGGCAGAGAGAGAGGGCAAGCAGTGTCCCCGCTGAGCATAGAGCCCCATGCGGGGCTGGATCCCAGGACCCTGAAATCATGGCCTGAGCTGAAGACAGAGGCTTAACCCACTGAGCCACCCAGGCGTCCCAACTTCTTCCTTCTTTTGTTGAAGTTTCTACTTTCTTTTTTTTTTTTTAATTTTATTTATTTATTTGACAGACAGAGATTATAAGTAGGCAGAGAGGCAGGCAGAGAGAGAGAGGAGGAAGCCGACTCCCTGCTGAGCAGAGAGCCCCATGCGGGGCTCGATCCCAGGACCCTGAGATCATGACCTGAGCCGAAGGCAGAGGCTTAACCCACTGAGCCACCCAGGTGCCCCTCTACTTTCAATCTTAGAATAATAATGAAAAATGAGCACCTATGTACCATTTGCTTTATTTGACAATTTCACATTTTGCCATATTTATCTTGTGTTTGCGAAAACATTTTAAAATAAATATTTCACTCAATACTTCAGTATGTGTCTCCAAAACTAAGTACATTCTTTAAGAGCACATCTATAATCAAACTCCCGTAATGTCCACAAAAGTCTTTCAAAGAGTTTGGGAGTTGGGGGGGGGGGCGGTTCGTTTGTTTGTTTGTTTGTTTGTTTTTACCAAACCAGGATGCACTAAAAGACCACAAATTACATTAGTAGTTCTTATACGTAGGGCCTAACCTCTGGGGATGGAGTAGGGCGCGGCCCCTGAAAACGCCAGAACGACAGACCTTCCACAGCAAGACAGGTTTATTTACACATTTATTTAAAGAAGTGGACGCGAAGGATTATGGTAGACGTAGTCTTGAGATTTTTTGCTTACCCAGCAGAACTTGCGCCCGGGCTGCGGACAGTGCTGCGCACGCGCAGCTTCGCCATCTTCCTGGTCCCCCTCTTGCGCCAACAGGTTTAGTGAAGCCCGAAATCCCGTTACCAGATTTCCCAGTAACGCTCAAGGTCCTGGTTGCCCACCTTCCTAAGAGCAGAGGTTAGAGCGTTGGCTGGGTGGGAAACGGCGGTGGCCCTCGGTGGGGAGGAGGCCCCGGGCCCCTACGGCGGGCGGGGGCTTTTGGGTGCGGACCAGCGGTTTGAGTTAGTGAGTCCTCAGCTGTGAGCGAGTGGTCCTGTCCATACGCCCCGGGACGGGGCGCGTGCGCATGCGTGAGGGTGCGCTCTGGCTGCGTGGGGTGCCCCGTGATTTAGAGTCTGGCTAGGCTTTCAGCACCGTAGCAAGTGCCCTGGACCTGGTCTCCTTTGACTTTGGCGTCAGTGGCTCTAGTTTCTGGGGATAGTAAGTTTCGAGAGATGCAGATATGGGGTGCTGGGTGAGGGCTCCAATATGAATTTGTCCTCTACTCTTTTTTTTTTAAAGACTTTATTAGAGCCGGAGCCGGGGAAAGGGGCGGCGGGAGAAGCTCACTCCCCGCAGAGTGGGGAACCTGACGAGGGGCTGGATTCCAGGACTCTGACATCATGACCTGAGCTGAAGTCAGACGCTTAACCAACTGAGCCACCCAAGCGCCCTTATCCTCTAATCCTACATCCTGATTTCCAAGGAACCGATGGGCCCCTGTCGGGTTACGGAACTGCAACACCAGAAACAGAATTCTCATCCTGAAGAGAGCCCTAGAGACGCTGGATCTCTCTCCAGAGTTCCAGAATGGAGACAGTCCCAGAAAGATAGAACCTAGAACTGCAGGGCATAGCATGGCAGTTCTTTACTTTCCTGTTGAGGTGTCGCTGTAACTGAACTAACCTGGAATTAGCTACTTGGCGAGTCACAGGTAGAAACTCTGCAGTTGTTATGCAAAAGAAAATTTGCAGCAAATGAGATCATGAGGAATAACTTACAAAACCATAACTCCCTGAGATGGTGGATGGGTTCCTTTTATGTAGAGAGGGAATGGATATTTAGAAAGGGGATTCTTGTCATTGTATGTAGAGCAGGCATAAAGTTGTTTGTTAAGGAAACATGCCAGTACATACATACTATGTACAGAGTAGTCATACTATAAATAAATTAGATTCTATGTTATGTTAGTGGTGCATGTGCTCTTTGAGCAGAGATTTTAGTATTGTGATGAGGTAAAAGTGGTGGTCATTCTAGAGGTCACTCCATGGTCCTGCCTGCACAGGTGAGAGTCAGGGTTAAGCCCAAACTGGTCTGGATGAGCTAGACCTGGTCCTGGCAGTCACTGTTGCTTGAGGGGTGATTTCAGTTTCCATTTGCCTGAGTTGAGAGAGAAGCTGGAAAGAGGTTAAGAAACAATGTGGGGCAGAGGTCATTGAGTACAAGCAGGTGGTCAGTAAAAGTCAGGTCTTGGGGTCTAGCAGGTGACAAATCCACCCTCTGGTTTTATTCTGCTGCTCATTCTTCAGGGGCGCAGGGCAAAGGTCTATCTTCTATAGTTGCTTCCTGCTGGGCATAGGGGTGGTCACTGAAATTGTTAACAGAGCAGAATTTTCCCTCAGGTTTTGATGTGTCTGTGGGTCGCCAGGTTTAACCCTTTAACCCTAAGCTGCTCCTATCTTTGGGTTACTACCAGCTGTAATTCTTGGCCCCCAGGCATTCGTAGAGAATTTTATCAGTCAGTTAATAATGCAAAGTCTAAATGGCAGTCTGGGAGCAGTAGGATTATTAGTGGCCTTAGGAAGGGGAGAAACCATGGAGTATTGGGTAACACTGTTTTAATAGCCTGCAGACCTCATCAGGGGAATTTTCCTTTTTGGTTGAAAGTATGTAGCCAGGCTGTCTGCTTGAAGATTTTTAAAATATCTATTTCCACTTCACTTGAGGTATTAATCCAGGTACAGAATGAGCTCCTCCTCCTTCTGCCAATAAGTAGTGTAGGACTAATCATCGTCTAAAGCTATGTTGGCTGAAGAGTTTAGGGACATTACTAAGTTTTCGAGGGCATATCCTGTGTTTTTAGCTAAGGTTCCTATGACATCAGTTAATTTCCTTGCAGTGACTTTATAACCTATAGAACTTCCCCAAGAGGCATCTACTCCCAACAGCCAATCCAACACCAGCCAGAATTAGTTCTGAAGCTCTTTTTATCCAACGGGAAAACCGAGTATGGGTTTTTGGTGGAGCTAGCTAGCCCCGTATTACCATTTTTCTCTTGAGGGAGACTTCACTGTCCTCTTGAAATAATAAACCCAGGGGCACGTGGGTGGTTTAGTCACTTAAGAGGTGGGCTTTTGATTGCCTCTCAGGTCATGATCTTAGGGTTGTGGGAGCAAGCCTCCTGTTAGGCTCATGCTTATCAAAAGTCTGCTTGAGATTCTCTCCCTTTCCCTCTGCCCCTCCTCCTCTTCACTTGAGTGTTCTCTCTCCCTCTAAAATTAAGTAGATAAAATCTTGGGAAAAAAAATAATAAACCCCAAGTACTGTACAGTTTCCTTAGAAATTAGGCCTTTTCCTTGAGACTTTATATATCCTGTCTGCCAGGAAATTTAACATGGATAAAGTATTTTGGTCAGAAACCTCGTGGGTGGGAGTAGCTATCAAAATACCATCTATATACCATAATAACAGTGCTATTTTTCTAAACTTAATTCTCTTAAATCTCATCCCAGAATTTCCCCAGAGATGACAGGGGAAGTTTTTGAAACTCTGAAGTAAAACAGTCCAGCAGTACTGTTGTGTTTGGTGGGAGAGAGGATCTTCCTGCTCAAGCAGATAGTACTTGGAATTCAGGATCTAGTGGGATGCAGAAAAGGTATCCTTTTGCTCTTACACAATGTAATATTTACTATTACTCAGTAAGTTGGTCAGTAGAGTAAAGGGATTGGGTATTACAGATTGTATGTTTCAAGCAGCTTCATTAATAGCTCTGAGGCCTTGAATAAATCTGTATTCCTCACTTCCCAGCTTTTTAATAGGTAAAATTGGGGTGTTACATGAGGATCTACATGACTAATCAACCCCCATTTTAAGAGCCTGTTAATTACTGGGTGGATCCTTTGTATAGCATCTGGGGCTAGCAGTCTGTTTCAATTTCACTTTTACAAATGTGTTGTTAATGGCATGCCCCCGCCTGCCCTCACACCCGGACTTTCGGGTTGACTTGCCTTATGATATTTTGGGGGGAATTTTCTCTTTTAAATATTAGGATATTTTGTGATAATAACATGAGTTCAGTTCCTTGGTACCTAGGAACTTGAATTTCTAATTTGTCCTATTCTGAACCTACTGTGACCCCTAATTTGTCTAAAGTATCTCATCCTAAAAGAATATGAGGCATTCTGGCACATATCAGAAAGAGTGTTTTAAGAGCTTTGACCCTATTTCACAAATCAAGGATCCAGAAACCTTTTCATGTCTCCTTTTCCTGAGATTCCTTTCATATTACAATTTTTGTTAGAAAGGCTACCCTTCTGGGTGTTGAGTACAGAGAAAGTAACTCCGGTATCAAGTCAAAACTCAAACAACTTCCCTCCACTGCCCAGGTTACTCAGGGCTTCTTGTGGGAGATGAGAATCTAATGGTCCAAGACCAGTTGGGGAGCCTTGTGGCCCTATCATATCTCATCTTCAGTGAGGGACAGCCGAAATGATTGCGCTTTGCCCTTCTTTCTGTTCCGGGAGTGGTTTGGGCAGTCCTGTTTCCAGTGCTCTTCCTGGTTACAGTGTGCACATTGATTGGACCCCAACTTTGTTGGTGGTCTCTTGGTCCCATGGAGGGGGCTTGGGGCACGCACTCACGGGTATCATCTTTTCCTCACCCAGGTTACTTCGTGTAGGCTGGAGAGCTCCCACCGAAAGAGCAACTTGCCTTCTCATCTTCTGGTCTTCTTTTACATCCTCCATCACATCCAGTTATGGAACACCTTGAAAGCTAGTTCTGGAAGCTGAGCAGGGTTAGTATCCACACTTATGCCAATTTTGGAGTTTTCTTTGGCTGTCGGGAACAGTTTGAGATAGGAAATAGGTTGTTAAGGGCCATTCAACTACCCTGAACCTCAGGGTCCCAGTTTGTATTTCGTCTGAGGCAATTTTGTAGCCTTTCCAAAAAGGCTGATGGATTCTCATCTGTCCTTTGTTGAATGTCCCATAATTTGGACCAGGAGATCTACTTACCTCCTTCATAGCTTTTAAAAGAAGCCCTCAATAATGGCCAAAATGTTCTCTCTTGTTGTGGGAGTTGGGATCCCCCTCAGGGTCTGTTCTTAGCACTGCCTCATTTGGTCTCTGAGAACTTGATCCTGGCTGAATTTTTTTTATCAGCTTCCTGTCTGGCCTCTGCTAACACAGTAAACTTTTCTTCTGCCATTGAGAGTGGTGAGCAAAACTTGCATATCTTCCCAGATGGGTTGTGAGTAGAAAAGATATCCTCTATTAAATGTATAAATCAATCAGGTCAGCCCATAATAACCCTTTAGTGTGTGCCTTACAGTTATACAGGTCTGAGGTAAAAAATGGGACATGCACATTAGCGAGACACCCATCTCCATCAGGTACCCATCTCAATGGCAACATTCCCATCCTTGGCTTAAAATAAGTCACTAATCTGGTAGTGCTGTCTGATGAAAGGGTGCCGGAGACATCGGGCAAGGCTTTGGAAGTGTTTGCAAAGGATTAGAGCCTGGTACTCATGAAGCTGGGATAGCTGAGGCCCAAGTAGCAGAGAAATGAGGCGGAGGCTTATTACAATCCAGTGGTTTGGAGGAGGAGATGGAGATGGAGACAAAGATTAGCTGACCCCGAGAGTACAGGACGCATTTTTAGGGTTTTCAGTTCTACCTTCATTTCACAAATCTTAAACTTCCTTTGCAACCACTCGTTTTGATATAATGCCATAAAGCACTGACCGTATGGAATCTCTTCCCATTTTTCTTTCTCTTTTATAAAATAAGCTCAACTGTAGTGTCGTAGTAAAATTTAAAGTCCCATTTTCTGGCCACTTCTCTTCATCCTCTAGAGTCTATTATTGTGGCCAGGCTGTGTTAAGGAGGAAAGTCATCTGTTTTAGGATTAAAGGAAGGTAGTCAAATACTTTCCATTTCTGGAGGCTACAGCCCAACGGAGGCTTTCCTTCAGGTGGAATTGTCCCTCCCATAATCTGGAATTCCTTCTTAGGGTCTCCTCTCACCCTCTCTCAAGGTAACTTTCAGTGTTATTGGTGACAAAGGTGCGGTAAACCTTACCCACAATACATATGAGACTCGTTTGACTTAAAACCAAGCCCACAAGGAGAATGGGTTAATGCTAAGGTAATCCAGCTGGGTCTGGGTAGTTGTGCCTTGAGGAGCAGTGGCCTGGTGCATAGGCTGCCCCTCTTCCAGCCCCTCAACGTCCACCTAGTCCTGAAGGATTTATTTGGGGAATGGCTCAGGGAGAATCTGGTTTAGATTCAGTGACTCAAAGCACACCTCTCTTTTTAAGAGGAAAAACAAACCAGGAACAGTGTCAGATGTCCCCAACAAATGTTAACAGGTCAAACAGTAAGATGGAGATATCCTTCACCCTTGCTGATTCTAGACTAGTCTCGTTTGGGCCACTTGCTGATTCTAGACTAGTCTCGTTTGGGCCACTTCTCATCTGCCAGGCTAAAGCATTCAGCCTCTGAATGGCCAGTTTGTGTTATCCTTTGCCACCAGGGATGTCTGGACTCGACTATAAAGAGCGTTTAATCCCCTGCAGTGTTGATCGGAGAGGCCCTGTTCTTAACTGACTGTCGACCTGCTAGACTTTGTGAGACAACTCAAAGAAAATACTCTTAGAGTAGTGCCATAGGATTGGCACCATTTAGTTCTGTGGAGAGATTCTCAGCAAGAGGCTTGGAATGGCCACAGTCTCTTTAAGGGAGCCCAGCAGCATAAGCCCCAAGAAAGGAGAGCCCCCACTCCAAGGATTCCCATCTCCCAGTCCTGGCTAATTGAATGGGTTAGCCCAGAAGGACTGACGGTTCTCACTGCTCTATCCTTTGAAAACCAGGTAACCAGAGGGCAGAACCTCAGAGGGAGAACAGTCCCATCTGGGTTGCCAGATTTGTGAGCAAATTGCTCCTTGGTGTGTCCTAGAACTACATCAGGTGGGGTTGTTACACAAAGTAAAATTTATTTGAAGCAAGTAAGGAGATTGTGGGGAACTTCCAAAGCCCTGACTCTCCTATCAAGGGTGGATGGTTCTTTTGTTTAGGGTTAGTATGAATATTTAGATAGGGAAACCTTGTCATTGTATGTAGAGGTGAGCATAAGGTCAAGCTTATGTCTTAAGGAAACATGCTTATACATAGAGTGTATATTAATAAGTGAGACCGGTGCTCCTTTTTGGGCAGAGATTTTAGTATTACAATGAGATAGAGGTGGCTGTTGATCATTCCAGAGGTTGTTCCACGGTGCATCTGCACAGGTGAGAGTAGGAGGTTAAGCTCCAACTGGTCTGGGTGGTCTGGGCTGGCTGGAGGTTTCATCAGGGCAGTGGCCTGAAGGGTGGTTTCAGTTTCAATTTGTCTAAGTTAAGAGATAAGCAGAAAGAAGAGCTAAAGGACAAATATGACAGAGGTGGGTACAAGCAGGTAGGCTGTGGAGGTTAGGTCTTGGGATCTAGTTGGAGACACCACCACATCAGACATCTAACTGTCATGTTTAACCCTTTATATTTAATGTTATTACTGACTTGGTTATATTTATGCCCACCATTTTGCTGTACTTTCCTTGTGTATTTCATGTCTTTTTTGTTCTTTTGTTTGTCCCCTTACTGCCTTGTTTTGTATTAAGTGGATATTCTTTACATTTTCCTTTGATGAATTTAAGTAATTGTTTTAGAACAGTTTCTAGATTTATAGACTCAAGATCAATATAATGCAGAGATTCTGTTAGAGGCAATTAGCCGGGTTCTAACAGGAGGCTGGGAGGCCATCCACAAAGAAGTCACAGGCAAAGTCGGGGGCCTGAGCGGGAATCACTCCAAAACAAAGCTACAAGAAAGCTGGATTCAATCAAGATAGGTCTGTGAAGGTGGGTGCCATGACAGGAGACTCCTGACCAAATAAGAAGGAGAGGAAAACCTTGCTTCTAGGAAATCCCCACCTCACATAATGAATATTCTAGTCCCTAGTTAACAACTGTCATAAAAGAGAAACCCAGACTCCCAACACCCACACTTCTTGAGCACGCTCGCTCTCTCTTGTTCTCAAATCTTGAGAGTATAGTTTCACTTTAAAATAATAAACTTCCTCTCTCTGTTGTGTCTGGCCTTGAGTTCTTCCTCATGGCTGAGACCAGGAACCTTTGAGGACATCGTTGGGATGGGCGGGCGTGGTTGAAGCCCCTTAACCCAGGGTCTTCTCTAACCCTAACCCTAACCAGTTCACCCAGTTACAACTCCATAGACGCTACATTAATTTCCTCTATTTTTAACATTTAAAAGTAGTATGGTATGTTTGTCCCAATTAATGAACCAGTAGAGTGCATACGTTTTCATATTTCCTCAGTTTTTCTGTAATGTTCTTTTTTCTGTTCTGGGTTCCTTTCTAGGATACTGCATTACATTTAGTAGCTGTTTGCTTAAGCTCCTCATGGCTGTGATCATACTAAAAACTCATGACTGCCTAAGTAATTTCCTTCTTTTCACTGGATTCTGTGTTCTTGAGACTATTTATCTCTCAGTATGGTAAAAATCCTATATAATGGTATGCTATTGCACACTTCTTCCCGGCTGTGCTCGGTGACATTATGTTGGTAGTCTGGAATTGGTCATGGCAGCAGTATTTATGCATCTGAAATTGGCAACTAAAAGTTGAGGGTTTTGGCGGGGGGGATTTGGGGTGGCTTTTTATTTTATTTTGGGGTTTTTTTCAGTTGTTTTTTGTTTTGGTTTGGTTTGGTTTTTTTGAGAGGCTGCTCATAAGTATTTGAATCAATTGGTATTACGTCTGTGTGTCCATTCCCTCTCTTTAGGAACGAACAGGACATTTTACCTGCTGGTATGAAGAGTATCTGTAGGCAAGGAGCTGGAGGGGAGGCAGGATCATTTATGACTCATCTCTGTTCTATTATTTCTCAGTTGTATCTTCACGTGTCTTCATGCTTCTTTAAGAAAAGCAGAAAATGAACAAACCCCAGGTGAGTGGTTTTTTGTTTTTTAGTTCCTACTTTCTTTTACATTAGCTCTTATGAATAAGATACAACCTTTAAAATGTAAATGTGGAAATAGATAAATGTCAACTTTGGGAGAAATATGGAGTAGCAGGGCTGAGGGGCTGTTGTGGTGATGACCTTCAAGTACTTAAAATTGAAGTTGTCAGTGCTGAGCTATACATTTGTCTCTGATAGCGATAGCAAACATTATTACAGGAAGTGCAGTGAAAGTGAGAATAACCCATAATGATTTTTTTTTAAAGATTTTATTTATTTATTTGACAGAGAGACACACAGTGAGAGAGGGAACACAAGCAGGGGAGTGGGAGAGGGAGAAGCAGGCTTCCTGCTGAGTAGGGAGCCCAACATGGGACTCAATCCCAGGACCCTGGGATCATGACCTGAGCTGAAGGCAGATGCTTGACATCTTGACAACTGAGACTCCCAGCCTCCCCAAACGGTAATGATTCTTAATGAGACAGAAAGATTTTCCTGAAATTGTGGGGTGGCATGTTCTACAGATGTCACTTGGGTTTAGTTCAGGGATGGTTTGTTTAGGACTTCTGTATTCTTTTCAGTTATCTTCTTCTATTGATTACTGAGAGAAATATTGAAGTGTCCAACTGTATTAATTTTTTTAAAAGATTTTATTTATTTATTTGACAGACAGAGATCACAGGTAGGCAAAGAGGCAGGCAGAGAGTCGGGGGGAAGCAGGCTCCCTGCTAAGTAGAGAACCTGATGCTGGGCTCGATCCCAGGACCCTGAGATCATGACCTGAGCTGAAGGCAGAGGCTTAAGCCACTGAGCCACCCAGACGTCCCATCCAACTGTATTAATTTTTGTCTGTTTTCCCTTTCAGTCCTATCAGTTTTTACCTCTTAAATTTTGAAGCTGCTTTGTTAGGTACATGTACATTTAATTTTATCTTGGAAAATTGACCATTTGTCATTAATATAATGTGAATTGAATGTGCCTAATAATATCTCCTAATATGTAGTCTATTCTGTCTGATATTAATGCAGCAACTCCAGCTTTCTTTGGATTATTGTTTGTGTTATATTTCCTTACCCTTCTTCTTTTAACTTATGTATTTTTATAATTAAAGTGGATTTCTTATAGGCAGTATATAACTGGTCCTGTTTTTTAACCCCATCTGATGATCTGTCTGGTTTGATTAGAACACTCTGTTTAAAAATTGGTTATTGATATGGTGATTAAATTTTTCCATTTTGCTAGCTATTTTTCTATTTGTTCTATTCTATCTTTTTTCTTTTGAATTTGTTTTGTTGCTCCATTTTATCATTGCTATTGTCTTATTTGATTTGAAGATTTTATTTATTTGACAGAGAGTGCACACACACAGGCATGGGGAGCAGCAGGCAGAGGGAGAGGGAGAAGCAAGCTCCCTGATGAGCAGAGAGCCCGATATGGGGCTTGATCCCAGGACACTGGGATCATGACCTAAACCTGAGCTAAAGGCAGATGCTTAATCACCTGAGCCACCTAGGCATTCCTTGACTTATTATTTATACCTTTCTTTTTTACTTTTAAAATAGTTAGTGAAAGACTTATAATAGCTATTTTTAATTAATCAGAGCCTCCCTTCAAATATTAAACCACATGATGTTATAGTATAACAACTTTATAACAGTATATTCCCAATTCTTCTTTCCTGTCCTTTGTGTTCTTGCACCATACATTTTATGTTAACATGTGCTATATACACATAATACAATACTACTATTTATGCTTTAGACAGTTATCTTTTATTTTTATTTTTTTTTAAGATTTTATTTATTTATTTATTTGACAGACAAGAGATCACAACTAGGCAGAGCAGCAGGCAGAGAGAGAAGAAGGGAAGCAGGCTCCCTGCTGAGCAGAGAGCCTGATGTGGGGCTTGATCCCAGAACCCTGGGATCATGACCTGAGCCGAAGGCAGAGGCTTTACCCACTGAGCCACCCAGGCGCCCCTACAGTTATCTTTTAGAATAAGGATTGGCAACCTGAAGCCCATGGGTGAAATTCAGCGCCCTATCTGCTTTTACAAATTAAGTTTCCTGGGAACACAGCCTCATGCTTTCTTCTATGTATTGTCTGGGGCTACCCTCACAATACAGTGTTTACTATTTAGTTCATTACAGAAAAAAATTTCTAACCTTTGCTTTAGAACACTTAAAAATTGGGACGGAAGGAATTAACTTAAATTTTCCTTTTTTATTCTATTTCTATTACTCTTCATTTTTATGTGTAGATTCAAGTTTCATTGGCACCATATTCCATTAATATTTCTTGCAGAGTAGTTCTGCTGATAAAGAACTGCTTAAATTTTTGTTTTTCTGGGAAGGCATTATTTCTTCTTCTTCTTTTTTTTTTTTTAAGATTTTATTTATGTATCTGACAGAGAGTGAGAGTACAAGCAAGGGGAAGGGCAGAAGGAGAGGGAGAAGCAGGCTCCCTGCTCAGCAGGGAGCCGGGCATGGAGCTTGATCCCAGGACCCCAAGATCATGACCTGAGCCGAAAGCAGATGCTTAACTGACTGAGCCACCAATGCGCCCCTGTTTCTTCATTTTTGAAGATGTTTTCAATAAATAATTCTTGGTTGAAGTTATTTTGGAGGGGGTGTTTGTTTTTATTTTTTAGTTTTGAAATTGTTTTAACTTTTAATATAGTATTGTTGACATATTAAATTAGTTTTAGATGAAAAACAGAGTGACCTATTATATAACATGAAATGCTCATCATTGTAAGTAAATTACAGTATTTTTGAGTATATTTCATAGGCTGTACTTTTCATCCTCATGACTTATTTATGTTACAGTGGGGAAGTTTGTACTTCTTAATCTGCTTCACTAATCTCCCACTTCCCCTCCCCTGTGCTATTTGCAACCACCAGTTAGTTCTGTGTTTATGGGTCTGTTTCTCTCTCTCGTTATGAGTCTGTTTCTCTTTTTTTTTTTTTTTTAAGATTTTATTTATTTATTTGACAGACAGAAATCAACTAGGCAGAGAGGCAGAGAGAGAGAAAGGGGGAAGCAGGCTCCCCAACAAGCAGCGAGCCTGATGTGGGGTTCGATCCTAGGACCCTGGGATCATGACCTGAGCCGAAGGCAGAGGGTTTAACCCACTGAGCCACCCAGGCGCCCCGATTCTGTTTCTCTTTTGCTATTGTTCGCTCATTTGTTTTATTTTTCAGATTCTAAATGTAAGTGAAACATAAGTGAAATTATATGGATTTGTCTTTGTCTGGTTTCACTTAACATAATACCCTCTAGGTTCATCCATGTCACAAATGGCAAGCTCCAATTCTTTTTCATGGCTGAATAATATTACATTCAACCTTATCCATTTTTATCCACTAATCTCTATCTTTATCCATTAGTCTGTCAGTGGACACTATTGCTGCTACCATATCTGGGCTATTGTAAATAAATACAGGGATGCATATATCTTTGAATTAGTAATTTTGTTTTCTTTGTATGAATACCCAGTAGTGGAATTACTGGTTCATATTAATATATTAATTTAATATAATATGTTAATAGTATATTGATATATTAATTTTGGGGGGCCCCTCCATACTATTTACCTTGGTGGGAGAAATACCTAATTTTCCACCATTCTGCCCACTTTTTAATTGGGTTATTTGGGTTGTTGTTTTTTTTTTATGTTTGTGTGAATGCTTTATATATTTTGGATATTAACCCCTTCTCAGACATGTCATTGCAGATATTTTCTCCCATTCATTAGATTTCCTTTTCATCTTGCTGATGGTTTCATTCATTGTGCGGAAGCTTTTCAGTGTGATATATTCCTATTTATTTTTGCCTTTGTTTCCCTTGTACGAGGAGACTGATTCAGAAAAGTATTACAAAGGTTGATATCCAAGAGATTACTACCTGTATTTTCTTTTCAGAGTTTTATGGTTTCAAATTTTACATTTAGGTCTTAAATCTATTTTGAGATTATTTTTGTCTGTAGTGTAAGAAAGTGGCCCAATTTCATGCTTATGCATTTAGCTGTCCAGTTTTCCCAGCACCATTTATTGAAGAGAGTGTCTTTTCTCCATTGTATATTCTTGCCTCCATTGTCATTGATTAATTGTTGTTCTCTCTCCCTCTCTTTATGTGTATTTTTTTTCTGGACTCACAGTTCTGTTCCATTGACCTATGGATGTATTTCTGCAACAGTATCCTACTGTTTTCATTATTGTAACTTTGTAGTATTTCTGGAAATTTAGGATTGTGATACCTCAAGCTTTGTTCTTTCACAGTATTGTTTTGGCTATTTGAGGTCTTTCATGGTTCCATACAAATTTTAGGATGTTTTTGTTCTGAAATACTCTTGGTATTTCTGAAATACTCTTGGTATTTTGATAGGGATTGCAGATCTGTAGACTTCAATCTATAGATTGCTTTGTGTAATAGGGACATTTTAATTTTAGCAATATTGCTTCTCCCAGTCTATGAGGATAGTATACTTTGAATTTATTTGTGTTGCCTTCAGTATTTCATTAATGTCTTAAATTTTTAGAATATTACTCTTTTACATTTTAAGTTAAATTTATTTCTAGGTATTTTACTCTTTTTGATACAGTTGTAAACAGTATTTTAAAAATGTCTTTTTCTGCTCTTTTTTATTAGGGTATAGAAACAGAACAGATTTCTGTATATCGATTTTGTATCCTACAACTTTACTGAATTCATTTATTAGGCCTAATATTTTTTTGGTGGAGTCTTTAGTTTTTTCTATATATAGTATGATATCATTTGAAATATAGTTTTACTTGGACCTTATCAACTCAGATGCCTTTTATTTCTTTTTCTTGTCTGATTGCCATGGCTAAGAATGCCAATACTATGTTGAATAAAAGTGGTTAAGAGTGGATATCCTTGAATGTTCCTGATCTTGGGGAACAGGTTTCAGCTTTTTACCACTGAATATGACATTGATTGATTTGTGTGTATTGAACCATCCTTCCATTGCTGGAATAAATCCCACTTGATCCTGGCGAATGGTTTTTTTAATGTATGTTGGATTTGGTTGGCTAATATTTTATTGAGGATTTTTGCATCTGTCTTCCTGAGGGATATTGGTATATAATTTTCTTTTGTAGTGACTTCAGGTTTCCTGTGAGAATAATGCTGATTTCATAGAATAAGTTAAGAAGCATTCCTTCCTCTTCTGTGTTCTGAAATAGTTTAAAAATGATAGGTATTAACTCTTTAAATCCTTGATAGAATTCACCTGCAAAACCACTGGGTCCTAGACATTTTTTTTTTTAATATTTTATTTATTTATTTGACAGAGAGAGAGAGAGATCACAAGTAGGCAGAGGAGCAGGCAGAGAGTGAGGCGGAAGCAGGCTCCCTGCGGAGCAGAGAGCCCGATGTGGGGCTCGATCCCAGGACCCCGAGACCATGACCTGAGCCGAAGGCAGCGGCTTAACCCACTGAGCCACCCAGGTGCCCCTAGACATTTTTTTTGTTGGGAGTTTTCTTATTACCAGTTCAATTTTATTTCTAATAATTGTGTTTTTTTCCCCAGATTTTTCTATTTCTTCATGATTCAGTCTCAAAAGAGACTGTATGTTCTAGGAATTTATCCATTTTTTTCTAGATTGTCTATTTTTTTCTAGTTTTCCAATGTAATTTTTTTTTATCATAATCTCTTAACAGTCCTTTGTACTTAACATGGTGTCAATTTTAACTCATCCTCTCTCATTTCTTTTTTTTTTTTCTTTTTTTTTATTTGTCAGAGAGAGAGAGCGCGAGAGCGAGAGCGAGCACAGGCAGAGAGAGTGGCAGGCAGAGTCAGAGGGTGAAGCAGGCTCCCCACGGAGCAAGGAGCCCGATGCGGGACTCGATCCCAGGACGCTGGGATCATGACCTGAGCCGAAGGCAGCTGCTTAACCAACTGAGCCACCCAGGCGTCCCTCCTCTCTCATTTCTAATTTTATATGTTTGTGTCCTCTCACTTTTTTTCTTGATTAATCTGGCTAAAGTTTTATCAATTTTGTTTATCTTCTTGGAGGGCCAGCCCTTAGCCTCATTGATCTTTTCTTTGTTCTTTCTTTTGTCTTCTCTGTTTCATTCATTTCTTTCTGATCTCTATTATTTCCTTCTCTCTCTCTCTCTCTCTTTTTAGATTTATTTATTTATTTATTTTAGAGAGACTGCAAAGGGGGAGGGAGGTGCAGAGGGACACACAGAGAGAGAATCTGAAGTAGACTTCTTGCTGAATGCAAAACCCAGCACAGGGCTCACTACCTGAGCTGCAGTCAAGACTCAGACACTTAACTGACTGAACCACCCAGGAACCTCTATTATTTATTTCTTTGTGCTAACTTTGGGTTTTGTTTTTTGTTTTTCTAGTTCCTTTTGGTGTAAGGTTAGATCATGTATTTGAGTTATTTCTTGTTTTTGATGTAGGTCTAAGCACTGTAAATTTCCTTTAGTACTGCTTTTGTTCCATCTCTAAGACTGTTATGTTTTCATTTTCTTTTCACTTCTCTCCAGATATTTCTTGATTTTCTCTTTGATTTCTTCATTGGCCCATTCATTTTTGAGGAACATGTTATTTAGGTTTAGATTTAGATTTCTACATATTTGTATTTCTTCTAGTTTTTTTCTTGTAATTGACTTCTAGTTTTGTCCCATTGTGGTTGTTTTTCATCTCTTACTGTGTTCCCATTTCTAGATTTCCATTTGGTTCTCTCTGCTGAAATTATCCATTTGATTTTGCATGTCCTATACCTTTTGAGTTTTAACATACATTAGAGTCTTTAACATAAAGTTATAATTACTTAAAACCCTGTTAGATGGTTTCAACATCTATGTAATATCTATTTCTGATGGTTACTTTATATCTTTGTAGTATTTTATTAGTTTCTTTCCTTTTCATATGCTTTGTAATTTTTTGTTGAAGTGTATATGTCTTGGGTCAGACTCTAAACTGGGATAACAGGATTTTATTGCTAGAAGTGGCAATTCCCTGTGAGGCCTTTAGTCCATGGGTTCGAGTTTAACTAGTTAGGAGTTGGGCAGAATTTGAGAATTAATTTTCTGTTACTACTCTCAGGGCGGAATAGGCTTTCACTTTCTATAGAGTTACCTTGTGTTTAGGATACAGGTTCATTTATCAGAGCTCTGTCTGTTCATTTGAGTTTTAAGGGTTCTCCTTGCTGTGTATCTCAGAGAGGGTCTCTTTACATGCTTTTATTTATCTCTTGTCTTTCTGTCAGCAATATTCTACTGGTCCTTTTGTTATTCCAAGCTTGTTAGCTTGGTGGTGAGAAGTTATGGGCAGAATATGTTCTCTTACTCCATTGTGGCCTCAGTGTTAAGTCAGCCCTGTCCTTAGGTCATGGGGATGTGGCCTTTTTGGTTCTCTTGGCCCCCACCACCCATCCAGCTGTAGTTGTCGACTAAGTGCATAACCCTGCTCTTCCCCAGGAATAGAGTAAGTGCCCAGTGGGGTTCACAGAGAAAAAGCCTATAAATGGGCATCTGGGTAGCATGGTCAGTTGAGCATCCTACTCTTGGTTTTGGCTCAGGTCTTAATCTCAGGGTCAGGACTTTGGGCCCTGCAGGGAGCTCTGCTCAGTGTAGAATGTGCTTGAGACTCATTCTCCCCCTACCCCTCCTCTCTCTAAAATAAATCAGTAAACCTTAAAAAAAAAGGAAGAAGAAAAGAAAAAGGAAAGGAAGAAAGAAAAGAAAAAAAAAATGCTTGTAAAAAGGCGCAAGTCTTCTCCATGTCTGTGGTCCGAAGGGGTTTCTCATTGTTGTGTCAGCTCACACTCTGTTTTCATTAATTAAATTCCCTCTATTCTGGTTGACTTCTTACCTGTGGTCCAACTCAGGTAGGTAAAAATAGACATTTTATCTCTTCCTGTGCCTATTGTGTCTTCCTAGATTTGGGGTGCTTGGGTGCTTTGTAATCATGCTTCCCCTGTAAGGGAAAAAAATTGTGAATTTGAAATTAGTCTGACTCATTTTCATTGTAGGAGAAAAAGTGATTTTCTTCCTTGCTTTATGCATCCTGGAACAGAAGCAAAGTCAACCCACGTGTTTTTAATGCCTTCAGTGTATGTTGTGTTGCCTCATAGTCATAAAGAACATTTATCCATCACATTTCAGGCCCTACAGCTTTAACTCTTTAATTAAGCACAAGTTGTGATACAAAATAGTTATTTTTTTTTCTTTTCTGACTCTAATATACATTTTACATTTTCTTTCCTTTGCTTTTTTATGTATGCTAATATGTTCTAGTAATACCTTATTTTTAGTTTTGGAGTGTGTTGTGTTTTTGTGTAGTATTTAACTTTCTAGAGAATAAGAACAGTGTTTTATTCTTGTTAATATTCACATTTCAAGGGGCGCCTGGGTGGCTCAGTGGGTTAAAGCCTCTGCCTTCGGCTCAGGTCATGATCCCAGGGTCCTGGGATCGAGCCCCACATCGGGCTCTCTGCTCAGCAGAGATCCTGCTTCCCCTCCTTCTCTCTCTACCTGCCTCTCTTCCTGCTTGTGATCTCTGTCTGTCAAATAAATAAATTTAAAAAATCTTTAAAAAATTCACATTTCAAGGCATAGAGCATTAACAAATTAAAATAAGCATAATTTTTACTTTTACTTTGCTTTTCTTTTTTACTTCTACAAAACCTAATACAAGGTAATGTATGTAATAGGCATATTGTAACATCAATTCTCAACAGTGAACCTGGGAAGAATTTGTTTCCAAATTTCCTTCCTGTGCCACCCCAATTCTGATGACTTCAGACTGAACAGAAATGTGCTCTTCCAGGGGTCACTGTCCTTTGGAGATGTGACTGTGGACTTTTCCCAGGAAGAGTGGCAGCATCTGGACCCTGCTCAGAGGACCCTATACAGGGATGTGATGCTGGAGAACTACCACAACTTTGTCTCAGTGGGTAAGCAGTTTTCATGTCAAATTTTGTATAAAATGCACTTCATTTCTTAGATAACAAAACGTTTGGTCTTTTATAGTTTATGTGGTTGAGACTTTTGCTTCAGGATCTGCGGTTGTTAATCTCTTTTGAGCACAAGGAAGAATTTTTGTATGCTCACATCCCATAAATGTTTAAATAAGCCTCATCAAGGTGCAGCTCCAGAAAGTCTGTCTTCTCTCTCCTTTAGAATTGCTATTTAAAAAAAAGAAGAAGAAGAAGAATTGCTGTATCCCATGTCCAAATTCTGTGTCATTTTTCCTTTTATAGGGTATCCCATTAAAAAGCCAGAGGTGATCTTCAAGTTGGAAGAAGGAAAGGAGCCATGGATATTAGAGGAAGAATTTCTATACCAGAACTACCCAGGTGAGTTAGTGAGTACCAGAAAGGTTAGTGAGGAAGCGAGGGGATATTATAATCTAGGCAGTCAGTTTAGGAGTTAGACATTATTTAAAATGTTTTCTAAGAATCTCTTCCTAGTGGCACCTACTTTAGAAGTAGAGAAATGTAAAATATGTATTATATGTAATATACATACATATATATGTGCTAAAATTGGAAGAGAAAAGGGTAATGCTACAGAAGAATGTAAACTGGTTTTCTGATTATTCAAAGCTAGTGGTCCAAGGATATCATTTATGCAGATAAGCAAGTAATACTGGCTTTATTGTGTTTAATAGCACAAAGGTAAAACTAAGAAAAGTGAGAAAATCTACTAAAATTTGGTTCTTGAGAAGGGAGGAAACACTGTTTCAGTGTTACATGTTGTATTCTAGTACTTGGTACTATTTTTAAAAATTACCTATAAATTAATAGGATTACAAATTCATATTTACCAGATTAATGTAAGAAAATTACAGCCTTAATTTTACAGTTGTACTTCTGTTGGTATCTTAAGAAAATGGGGAAAAGACCTGTTTTAGTGCTTAAAAAACATTTGCAAATAAGTGGAAGTATATGATGCTAAAAGGAAACCTTCAGTAAATCCTAGGAAATAGGAAATAAAACATTCCCTAGTTGTAGTCTGATAAAAGTAGAGGTTGGTTAAAAAAAAAAAAAATTAAGCATACATGACAAACTTGTTCTTTTATATTTTTTTATTTTTGAGTATTTTTTTCTTTGTAAATTTCTGATAGTTTTCATGTTCTTGCTTTATGTCAATATCAGTAAGAACTATATTCCCTCATACTTTTATTTTGTCCCATTCCTAATTGTAGTTGGTGAGAGTTCTTTTGTTGTTGATGGTGGTGTTTTTGTGCTTTTGTTTGCCTAGAACATCTATTTTTTTCAGTAGCGTGACAAAATAAATCTGTGCTCCTCCTGTTTATTTCATGAAATTTAAATTAATGTACCTTTTATTGACAACTGTATTCTAACCTTATTTGGCTGCTCCAGTTTTATTTTTAGGTTGCTTATACTCATGCTAAACATCATTTGATCCACTCGCATTAAATGTCACTTAGGCATCCTGTGTGCTTTCCCATATCACACCTTTCTTCTCTGTGTGCTTTCCTTGACTAGATACTAAATGCATTAATAAATGAAAATTACTCAGAATATTGTTTAGTATATAAGTAGAACTCTATTTTTACTGTTATTATATTGAATGTCGTTATAGTAAAAGTTAAGTGTACCTGCTTCCAAGGAGGAAGAGACTTTGAATGTTTGAGTCAGTGTGATGTCTTCTTTCTCTCAATGCTCAGCATGTAGTGGGTCTTTCAGAAGAAGCAAAAGTAAATGATCTGTTACCTGATAATACCTTTTTTCACACCTGGGGTATGATCTAACAAAGAGAACGGCAATCGTGTTATTCTTTCTTACTTTGGTATATAATCTGAAATGAACATTTGATTAACATGATCAAGGAAAGGAAAAATTTCATATTCTGAAAACATTGTGAAGGAATCTCTGATTACTTACATGAACATATAGTTCCTGATTCATCAGGTATAAAATGGCATAGTGTCTAAAGATTTGTGTTTGAAAATCTTTCCAGGTAATGCTGATACACATAGCTGGTTGAAGTCTATTGATTTCAAATTACTCAGATTTTTTTAAAAATCAGACTTAACAACACCTGTTATGAGCAGTGATTATAAAGTACGGTCTACAGATCTACCAAATGTTTTTGTAAATAAAATGGTTTTGCAACACAACCATACTCCTTCGTTTACATATGGGCTTTCGCCAGTTTCATGCTCTAATCTCAGAGTTTGATATTGTGATAGGCAGGTATGGCCTGCAAGACCTAGAAGATGTACTGTTTTGCCTTTTAAGGAAAAGTTTGCCATCCTTTGGACTGAAGAATGAGAATAAAATTGCATGAAACACTTTTTAAATTCAGCATTTAATTAAGAAAAAATTGTCATTCTCTCAACTCTAAGAAGCCATAGATTGTAACTAGATCATTATGTGATGAACCACTAAGTAAAAAATACCTTGCTCATTGTAGTGTGACCTGCTGAGCACAGATCTGTGATCAATTATAAGAGGCATTTTAGAAAGTTAAATATGTGTATATTATATTGGATGATTTTAGATTTTAGAATGTTAAATATGTGTATATTCAAGAAATACAGTATATTACAAAGCAGTGCTATTTATGACTGTTAAAAAGAGCTCATCTACATTGGAACTACTTTTAGATTTAGAACAAATATAAGTTTGAAAGTTTTAAAAGTATGAAGATTTGAAAAGGCATTCTTGAAGGGTTGGAATAATGGTATTATTATGTCATTTTCCTAGATAGTAGATAGCCTATACCCTAGCCGTGGCTCTGAGTGAGAGAACACACTTTAACTTTATAGTCAAGAATGAGTAATTTAATAAGACAAAGAACTGACTAAACTAGAAGAGAGGATGTTGATTGAGGAGTTGTAGGATGGCAGCTTGAAGATGTGATGTGAATTTAGTAGGTGTAAATTTTGTTTGCTAGAATGATGACTTGTAACAGTCGTCATGTGGTACTTGGGTCAGGCCAGAGGTTTTTTAGATTGGGATAGAATTTGTTGCAGTGGGTAGCAAATGTGGACAATATTTTTTAAATGGTAAATCAATATAAATGTTACTCATTTCATGAGATTTGTTTGGAAACATATGATCCTTAAGTTTTGATAATAAGCAGAAACCTGAAATATGCAAATGTGAGATGTGAAAGATAAAGGAAAATTAAATATTAGTATTTTGGCATAGGTAATGCTATTTTAAGGAAAAATAAGTGAACATAGGTTCACCTGTTGAGTGGCTACAGTAGAGCAATATGAGCATATCAAAGCCAAAATAGGGAGATACATTGAATCTATGTGGGCACAAGATTACTTATTTTGTCATTATTTTGTATTTCATTTTGGGACATTGGCATTCCTGTTGGGAAGGGAATTTGAGTACACTCTGATGACTCCTTGAACATAAGGCCTTTGGTGCTTTCAGAAATTTATCTTGGTGTTGTGTGGGAGGGAAATTTAACTGGAAGCATGAGAACTTGTTTGGATATTACTAAAACAATACAGGTTGGAGCGTATTAGACCTACTCTGTCTCCTTAATGTCACATTTTCCTTCATGAACATCTTTGCCTACTCATTTTTCTTGTTATTCCAATTACTTTTCATCAGCTCAGTTGGACCCATCTTATTTCCTGTGATTTTTCTCCTACCTGGATCTGTCACTCCTGTAGAATCTTTCATCCTATCTTCACTGCTTCTTGAATTTAAATCTACATTTTTGTCCATTTTGAATGTCTTACTTATAAAGTGCTGAATAATTATATGTCTGCATGTTAATAGCTTTTCTTCCTTTTTCCACATGTTTTCTCAAACTAGGTGGGGAAAGAGGCACTTTGATCCTGAGACACTACTGAAACCAAAGTCAAATATATAAAAGCACATTTGTATGTTAATCCAGTTCCATTAGAACTGTAAAATTCTTACGGTTTGTTCAATATTTTCATTTCTAGAAGACAGCAGAGCTTATTACGTAGCAGAGAGAATCCAGAAAAACCAAGACAAATACTTGCCACACGTTTTATTCAACAACAAAAAAGTGACCTCAGAGAAAGTTTATGCTTTAAGGAAATCATCTAATAGAAGTACAGATTTTATTCCTTCAAGAAAAATACCCTGTAAACATGACTTACATGGAATGAATTTGAAAAATATTTTAGTATCAATTGGTAGTAATAGATATTTTTCAAGGAAAAAGCCTCACATGTTAAATGTATATGAGCATTTACTTGATATTAAGCAGGAAAAACCTCATACTCAAGAGGGTTCTTATGAAAATAATCAATATGAGAAAGCCCTTGGTCATAAGAATGGTATTATTCAGCATGTAAATACTCAGTCTTCAGAGAAGACTTTAAAATATGATGGTGGAAAATCCTTAGGAAAAAAGACCACAATAATTCCACACAGGCAAATTGACACAGGAGAGAAACTCTGTGAATATAATGGACATGGAGAAACCTCTGAGAAGTCATCTCTCTTGAAATGTCATGGGGTTTCCTTTGAAATGAAACAATGCAAAGGCAATCAAATTGAAAATAATTTTAGCAGGATGTCACATTTTACTCAAGTTCAGAAAAAAAAGAGATGTGAGGGTCTATTGAAATGTAGTGAATGTGGGAAAACATTCAACTACAAGTCAAACCTCACAGTGCATCAGAAAACACACATAGGAGAGAAACCCCATGAATTTAATTCATGTGGGAAAACGAGTCATAAGTCACCCCTCACAGACCATCAGTTAGCACATATAGGGGAGAAACTTTATAGTGAATGTGGGAAGTCCTTTTGCAAGAAGTCATCTCTTACTCAACATGAGGAAACAAACACAGGGAGGAAACCCCATGAATGCAATGATTGTGGAAAAACTTTCTGCAAGAAGTCAGCCTTCACTCAACATCAGAGAACTCATACAGGAGAGAAGCACTTCCAACGTAATGAATGCAGTAAGACCTTCCATCGCCAGTCAGACATTAAGGTACATCAGAGAATTCACAAAGGAGAGAAACGCTTTCAATGTAATGAATGTGGCAAGACTTTCCATTGGCAGTCAGACATTAAGCTACATCAGAGAATTCACACAGGAGAGAAACCCTTTCAGTGTAGCAAATGTGGTAAAACTTTCTATCGGCAGGCAGATGTTAATGCACATCAGAGAATTCACACAGGAGAGAAACGCTTTCAATGTAATGAATGTGGTAAGACTTTTTATTGGCAATCAGACGTTCATGCACATCAAAGAACTCACACAGGAGAAAAACCCTTTCAGTGTAATGAATGTGGTAAATCTTTCCATCGGCAGTCGGATGTTAACGTTCATCAGAGAACTCACACAGGAGAGAAACGCTTTCAATGTAAGGAATGTGGTAAAACTTTCTATCGTCAGTCCGACGTTAATGCACATCAGAGGATTCACACAGGACAGAAACCCTTTCAATGTAATGAATGTGGTAAAACTTTCTATCGGCAGTCAGACGTTAATGTGCATCAGAGAACTCACACAGGAGAGAAACGTTTTCGATGTAATGAATGTGGTAAAACTTTCTATCGGCAGTCAGAAGTTAATGTTCATCAGAGAACTCACACAGGAGAGAAGCCCTTTCAATGTAATGAGTGTGGTAAAACTTTTTATCGGCAGTCAGATGTTAACGCACATCAGAGAATTCACACAGGAGAGAAACCTTATAAATGTAATGAATGTGGGAAATCCTTTTATGAGAAATCATCCCTCACTCGACATGAGAGAACTCACACAGGGGAAAAGCCCTATGAATGTAATGAATGTAGGAGAACCTTCTGCCAGAAGTCAGCCCTCACTCAACATCAGAGAACTCACACAGGAGATAGACCCTTTCGATGTAATGTCTGTGGTAAAACTTACCGTCATCTGTCAGCCATTAATGTACATCAGAGAACTCACACAGGAGAGAAGCCCTTTCAGTGTCCTGAATGTGAGAAATCTTTTCTTACAAAGTCAACTCTTATTAATCATCAGAGAACTCACACAGGAGAAAAACCCTTTGAATGTAATGAGTGTGGGAAGAGTTTTCGTCATAAATCTACCCTCACTACCCATCTGAGAATTCACTCAGGAGAGAAACCTTATAAATGCTGTGAATGTGGAAAAACTTTTGGCCGGAAATCAGCCCTTACTAATCATCAAGGAATTCACCTAGGGTAGAAACTCTGTAGCAGAAACTTGCTGGGTTTTTCCTCATACCCATTTTTCTTTGTGGTTACCTACTAGTCAAGATTTTGTGGCTTTCCATTCACATGAGGCCTTGTGACCTCTGGCATAAATTCCAAGCCTGTTTGAAATTTTTCCTACTTCCATTTTTCTTTCCATATCAAAGGGTATGGGGATCATCCTCAGGGTACTTGGGAGCTAGTCATTAGATTATAGATTCACAGGTTTGAAGAAACCAGGGTCCTGGGCAGAGTTCTGCCTTCTCTAACATCCCTTGTAAGTCTTGTCATGAACCAGAAATAAATTTCAGATTTGTTCAGACATTACATGTTTAGGGCTTTTTGTTGTCATAGTATATCCTAGCCATCCCTTATTTCATATACCCTGTGAATCTAATGAAGGCATGAGAAACACTGTATGTCAGAGAATTCATTAGGGGGGAAATTGCTCTCAGTATTCTGCATCTTAATAAACTTTGATGAACAAGTCAAGCATTTTGTAAATCAGAAATTTACAAATTGAGACACCCTAAAATGAAATGAATGTAGGAGAATTTTCACAATCTGCTTCTGATTGGCCATGATATAATTGAGAATAGAAGCTAATAACTTGAAAAGCACTTCAAAATTTATTTATCAGAGAATGCATAACAAAGGAAAATTGTCAGTTTAGGAAGTGAGGAAAACATCCTTGTCTAGAAATAATCTTGTTCTAGAAGCAATGTTTTGGATGCAGTACTAAATAATCTTATTAATAATCTACCATGGGATATTTATTTGACCACAATGGTCAACATGTGGCTTTGAGACTGCACAGGTGAGTTGAGACATCAAAGTAACAGCACTAAGTGTGTATGTGAATAAAATAGCAGCACTTTGTAAACATCAGCACTAAGTGTATATATGAATAAAGTAATAGCACTAAGTATATATGTGAATAATATATGTAAACAAAGTAACAGCATTATGTGTTTAGGTGAATAGTAAGCCTCTGAGCTTAATCAGGCTTAAACATGAGTGTGCCCTTCAATGGCTAGATTCTGTATGCTTGATTTTTGTTTTAGGTTCCAAAATAGTTACAGTAGGAACAATGCACTCTTACCTAAATAATTTTTGTGACATACACTATGTTTTCTGACACCAACTGGTATTGTCCCATCACATACTTATACCACAATATGTATTTTTTAAAGAAACGTGGAATGCGTGAAATACTACATGTTGTGTATATTTTCTGCTTTCTGGTGGCACATGTAAATCAGTGCAGGAGGCATTGTTAACAAAACGTTCTTTTAGTAAATAAGCCAAATAATGACTGATAAAATCAAGATTTACTTGATGTATACAGTGATTCAGTACACATTTAAAATACACACCTGAATCAATTTTCAACATTGGTCTTGAACGTTCGGTATAGATTGAAAGCAGTGCCCACTGAAGAAATTTTCCCCACTTTATATTTGTGTTATGTTTTAAGAGTGAAGTTCAAATTTTATGTGAGCAAAGAACTATCTGCATTTGTATTTAGTGTAGTAGAATGCTACATATTTCCTGCTACAGTTATACATGGTCTTTTCAGACAAGCCATTCTGTGTGTCACTTATTATTTGAGTGACCTATGTAGTGATTTAATCTCTGCCTCAATTTCCTCATCAGCAAAATGGAGATGATAATATCTACCTCACAGATACTGAACGGTTAGGGTCAGAGTTTTCTGTTATTAGAGCTAAAGGCATTTATGTTTAGAACTTGAACATTAGAAATAAAATGGTCTGTCATCCTGCAGTATGAAATGTGTTTCTGCTTCTTGAGTTGGTACGAGAAAATTCTTATTAAAACCTTCTGTTTTGTCAGGTTTGTCCTTAAAACATACGAAACAAGTATGTTTAAAATAAGTGGAATAATCTACTGATCTCTTTCTGTTGTCGATTAAATATGGTGTAAACTAAAAACCCCAACTTCGTTTTTTTCCAAATGAATAGCCAATTGATCTTTCACCTTTTGATTCATTCACCCCTATTTCACCGATTTGAAACCACATTTTTATTGTATACAGATGTACCCTTTGATGTGGCTGTTACATTTCTAGGCCCTGTATTCCTGTCCCCATTATTCTACTGGTGGTACACAGTGTGGATGGGCCAACCATAGGACACCACCCTACTGCCCCACACTGATGAATTCACTGTTCTTCACTCTCTGCTTTTTGCCGCTGTGTATAAACTCATTGTGAATTTCAGTGGTTCTAGTAACATTTTGTCATGTCACACTTTGTGCCTTATCCTGAGCACTATTCCTTTATTAAAACCAGCAAAATGGGGGCACCTGGGTGGCTCAGTGGGTTAAAGCCTCTGCCTTCGGCTCAGGTCATGATCCCAGGGTCCTGGGATCTAGCCCCACATCAGGCTCTGTGCTCCACAGGGAGCCTGCTTTCTCCTCTCTCTGCCTGCCTCTCTGCCTACTTGTGATCTGTCTGTCAAATAAATAAAATCTTAAAAAAAAAAAAATGGTTTTGGGTTACATCCATGTTTACATATGTAGCTCTGGCTACTTTTTAGCGTCTTATATTCCGTTCTATTAAAATATCTTAATTCTGTTGAAAGGCCTCTTGTTTCTAATTTTTCATGATTATGAACAATACTATTTTGGACATTGAGTATTTCATACAGAGTAGAGCTGAATCCTCAACCCACAGTGAGAAGAAGGTTTTAGTGACTGTAAATACAAACATTTGTTGATTCGATCAGTATTTATTAGTCACGTACTAAGTAGAGGGCATTGTACAGCAGTGAATAAAACAAAAGTTCTCCTCTTCCTGAGATTCAGTTCCAATGAGACATATCAGGGTTGTCAGAAAACAGAAACCATAGCAGTGATTTGAACAAAAACGATATGATAGCATTGTTAACTTGATGTACAGTTGTTAACTAGGGATCTGAAAGGGTAAAAAGGGAACACTGAGTATCATGAAGATGGCAGGAATCTGAAAGGGAAGAATAAAGGTCAAGTGTATCACTAAAGTAGCAACTGCAGGCAGCAGCTACCAGCTCTAGACTGGTCAGATGGAACGGGAGGATCCCTCAGAGCTGAAATGCAGGCCTCTGAAAGGAACCTGTTCCACTGATGTGGGGGTCCGAGCCCAGAGCAGGGGCCTCACGGGATTAGGGCCCATACTGGCCGAGGAGAGAGTGCTGGCTGCCTGGCACCGGTTTCTCTGATGGGGCATGAGGACGCCAGTATCCATGTGTTACCAAAACCACAAACTGAATTTAGCTGCTGCTCTCAGAAGACTCTATGTCTGACTGGCATGACACAGTATTGCTAAGGTGCTGATGGCTCAGGATGCTGATGGGAAGCCCACAGGAGACAAATGGGAAGAAGCATGTCCCTTTGCCCTCCTCCATCCTTGCAGCCCTCAAGCAAATATTGTTGGCCAGCATGACAGCCGGTAAAGCCTCAGTGTGGTTACAGTAGAAAAAGGCGGAGGGCCCAACCTAGTCAAGCGATTGAAATTAACATGAATAATACGTTTGGTGTCACTCAGTAGTAGTGAATTTGTGTGCCATCTAATAGGAGACAATGAGAATACAGCCAAAAGTGTCTAACCTGAGTCTAAGCAGGAGGGACCATCAAACAAACTCACAGTGAGGTGCGCTCTTTAAAGTAAGTGGCTCGTAATCTTCAAACATCTCAAGTTCATGCAAGTCAAGAAAACTGAGAAAGTGTTCCAGGTTGAAGACTGAAGAGAGATGAAATCACAACGTGTGATCCTGGATTAAATCATTCAGCTGTAAAGGAAGTGATTTGGAGAATGGGTGAAAAGTGAATGGTGTCCGAGGATTAGGTGGTAGGTGTTAGTGTTAGTTTCCTGATTTTGATGTTTGAAATGTGATTATATATGCTTGTTACTAAAGTACTTGGAGCATGTCGACAACATGCTCTCAGTAATTTGGAGAATAAAAGGTTATTTGCACTATTGTTGCAAACTGTTCCTAAGTTTAAGATTATTTTCAAAGAATAATATAGTTTGTGCTTGATAGATAATTCACCTAATCTTTGTTTCTTTAACTTCGTTAATAATGTTAAGCTATAAATTAAAATTGGTTAATTTTAGGCTTGGTTAAAAATTAAACTGGTTCTAAGAGGCTTCTCTAGAGGAAGCTCACGTATCCCGAGCAGAAGAGCCTGGACTCTGAGCTGATTACTGTGTACTTAGAACTCATATCTCTTCCATGTGTTATTCCTCACACATGGGTCTTTGGGTCACTTTTTTTAAAAAGTAAAGGGAGGGGTACCTGGGTGGCTCAGTGGGTTAAAGCCTCTGCCTTCGGCTCAGGTCATGATCCCAGGGTCCTGGGATCAAGCCCCACATCAGGCTCTCTGCTCAGCGGGGAGTCTGCTTCCCACTCTCTTTCTGCCTGCCTCTCTGCCTACTTGTGATCTCTGTCAAATAAATAAATAAAATCTTAAAAAAAAAAAAAGTAAAGGAAATTGGAGGGCATTGGCAGCTGTGACTGGTACCCATGTTTACTTATGAGTTGGTGGTCTCTGGGCTCAGGCATTTTGTTCTGGGCTGGCCAGCCATTATATTGGGAGGAAGAGGCTTTGTGAATGTCCTGTGTGGATGAAGGGAGTGGCTGGGTTATCTAAGGTAACTGTCCCTCTCTGGGCCCTCTGTATAGTGACTAAAACGTATGTTACTGAACACTTACTTTGTGTCAGGTCTTGAGCTAGAAATAGTCAAATTTAACTCATACTGAGCCAGTGAATGAATGGCTGTAGTAATGATGATGAGAATGTGAATCAGGGAGGAGAAACCACTGTCAGCAGCCTGTGGGATGTAGGAGCTAAATGTGGGAACCTCCTAGAATTCTTAAGGTGACCCAAAACTCTAGACCCATGTTGTATAATTGTACATCTTAGTTCATTCAGGCTGCTATGATGAAGCCCGTAGACTAGGTGGTTTATAAGCAACAGATATTTACTTATCCCATTTCTGGATGCTGGGAAGTCTAAGATCATGGCACTGGCAGAATTTGTGTCTGTTGAGGGCCTACTTCCTGGTTCATAGAAGCCCCTTTTGTCCCTGTGTCCTCACAAGGCAGACCTGGTAAGGGATCTCTCGGGTTTTTTTCTTTCTTTTTTTTTTAAGATTTTATTTATTTATTTGACAGCGATCATAAGTAGGCAGAGAGGCAGGCAGAGAGAGAGGAGGAAGCAGGCTCCCCGCTGAGCAGAGAGCCCAATGTGGGGTTCAATCCCAGGACCCTGGGATCATGACCTGAGCCGAAGGCAGAGGCTTTAACCCACTGAGCTACCCAGGCGCCCCTGGGGTTTCTTATTTAAGGACACTAATCCCATTCGTTGAGGGTTCTACTCTCATGACCTAATCATCCCCTAAAGGCCCCACCTCCAAATAGTAATACATTGGAATTAGTTCTGCCACAAGATTTGTTTTGGAGGGAACAGCTGAGATGGGACATAAACATTCAATCTATAGTGTTATTTCTTCATTTTATTATTTCTGTTTTACAGATAATACTGTAATGGGTTCTTTTTAAAAATTACATCTATTCCTTTCTTTTCTCTTCCCTTCCCAGCACAGGGACAGCAGTCCCATTGGAGGTCAGTGAGGTCAAGACCTTCTCTCTTGAGGTCTCTCAAGAGAGAATGTCCACACAGAGGAGCAGAGTAATACAACGGTTCCTATCACAGATACATGGGACACTGGGAGTTGGCAGCTAAGGAGAATATAGACAGAGGAAATTGCTGGCATGGTTGGAGATGGATCACATTGAGGGGAAGATGAATGTATTGAAAATAGGAGCCAAGTTTCTTCCTGTTGAAAATATTTATAAATATAGAAAGGCAGAAGACTGAACAGAACCCTGAGTTGTTGAATCAGAATTGGAGGTATTGGTAGGAACTGATCATTTTTTAAATATACATGCATTGATAGATACATTTATGGGTGTGTGTGTACATATGT